TTTTTTTTAGAAATGGGACCTAACTTAGATGAAAAATCAGAAAAAAGCTGTAAGCGATCATTATGTGAAACGAAATGGTTTAGACGGTGGTTCAAGATGACGATATCGGAAGAAACGTATTTCGGATGTTGTTGGGATTGTATTGTGTGATGTGACTGTGAGCGAACGTATATACCGAAGTCGTTTTACATATTACACTCCGCGATAAAGGGCTTTCTCTTTTCGAGCCAGTCTTCCTTCTTCCCGGTTCCTATCAGTCCTCTTATCGTCATCTACTGCCAGCAATCATCGCCGAGAGCTACAGGACTACAAGCAGATCGGCGTAGAAGAAGCATCGACATGGAAGCGTAAGAGCTTTTTCAATTATTAATTTTATCGCCGTTATTTGTGTTCCATCTATCGTAATTTGTTGCATCGTTGTCATTTGTCAAATAGGCGGTGCTCGTCCGATTCGCTCGTTTGTCCTTTGCCTCATTCCCGTTTCCACAGTCTCGGATTTCCTTTCGTTGTACCAGTTCAACGCACTTAGTCACTTCCTACCGTTTATTATTAACGTTACTGTAACTATTTTAAACTATCTCAACATGTGACTGTGTGTGTGTGTGTGAATCAATGTTTGTTGTTTCTGTCGTATTATACTGTATTCAATTGTTAATATTGTTGGTAGTAATATTTATATAATAATAATCACCATTATTATTACTGGTATTTCTCATTAAACTTCACAACCACTACATTCTGCATCCTCTGTTCGCATTTATATATATGGACAGGCGTCTTGTCTATAGTAGCCTTCTTGAAGGCGGCTCAAACGCCTGACCTTCGGCCTCTTACGGTTTGTGGGTCATAGTATGCTATGATTATTATAAATACCTATTATTATTAGTAGTAGTAGTAGTAGTAGTATCGTACTTTTTCACACTTAGACGCGCTTTTACTTCCTCTAACCTTTCATTCTTAGCGTTTTCGTTATTTAAATATGTTCATAGTCTCTAATTTTCCATGGTATAGCATTATTGTTGTTGTTGTTATTATCGACATTAATTATATCAGTAAGTAAATTTTTATCATTGTTGTTGTTATTCATTAAGTGCCTCGCTTTGCCAAGTTCTGCTGCTTGCTCAGATCGTATTTGACGGCATACATTTCAACAGTCATTAGAGTAATTATTATCGTTACACTAACTATATTATTAACTTGTTATTATAGTAATAGTATTAACGGTATTGTTGTTATTGTCATTTATAACTTCGCTAAAGGCGTCTGCTAGTCGACGCTGCTTCTTTTTCTTCTTCTTCTTCTCTTCGTTCTTCTGCTTGGTATCCGTATGTTTGTTTGTGTGTGTGTGCATTTGACGTCTAGTACGTTATGTTCAGTGTTAGTACTTGCCTTTTGTATAAACCCTTTGAAAAATCTCTTTCATCTTCTAAATTCTTTTTCGATTATTAGTCAATCAGAAAATGTGATCGGATTAGGGTCGTCATCTTTTGTCTATTCTTTTTTTGGCCTGTTTGGTCAACTGACCTGTTGCTATTACTGTTGAATATCCATGCTGTCTGGGTGTACCTGTATGTATATATTTGTGTTCATGTTACACTAAATCAAAGATTTCATATCAACCACAGTGAATCAAGACGGTTGAGCGTGTCTGAGTCACATTTGTTCCGTTAGGTGTTTTTCTCTGCCTTCATATTTGCGTCAATGTCAGTCATTCATAGTTACTAATTAGGCTTCCAGGGTAAAAGCCGAATGGAGCCTGGTCGTTCATGGGGTAACGTTGGGACTTTAAATTGAAGAGGGGTGCGGAAGGTGGCCAGCAGGTCACAGACGGTCGGGGATCAGTCACGAATAGTCGAAAATCACTAACCCGATCTAGCATGTCGCTCGGGCGGGCTTCGTGCCGCGCCGCCAACACGCACCAACGTCTCTGATAAATACACTTCTCTCAATACAATCATGTTATAAGTAGTAGCAAGTTGTTTTTGTTGCAGTAATAATTGTGGTTGTGTAATGGTCGTCACCATCGTTTTAAGATTTACCTCTTTCACTTGTTGTGATGGACCACAAAAAGGTCTCCATGGGAATTGTGTGTGTGTGTGTGTGTCGGTAAGTATATGTTGGAATGATGACTGACGCCGTATGTGTGTCTCTGGCTCAGTTAATGTTATTAGGAATGTTATTATATCTTCTTTGTTTTTCGAAGAAGTGGTAACCGTCATAATCATACGTTTACGTTCAAGTAAAAGACATAAGTGGCACTATTCACCAACATACTTTTGTCATCATCAATCGAGGTCATCTCCTTCATCAGTCTTAAAATGGGTTCCATTTAGGTCAGCTTTAGCTGCTAGAATAAGAGTCTGTTTCAGCTTAAGCTTTTCGTTCTATGTCGTCTCACCCCGTTATAGTGTATTATGGGGGCTGTATGTTGGTAGATTCTCATATATAGTAATATAATGTAGCGCATTAGTAGAATAAGATTGCTAGCATTATTATTATGAACAGTAGCAGTTGCAGTAGTAAGACAAAGCGTAGTAGAAAGGCGTGACTGTCCCTCCATCGTAGGCTTGCAACGCGGCGCGCCTATCCGGCACAAAGAACAAGACCCTTTCGTTCATTACGGCAGCTTATGGCACCATTATGGGAGCATGGTCATGGCAATAAACCTTTTTATCGCTTGACACAAAATTGACACAGCTTAGGTTTCACCTACTGACTGACTGACTGACTGACTGACTGACTGACTTACTATTCATTAACCCATCGGCTAACGACATTGTGTTTTTGCGGTGTCTTTTTCTTAGCGTCCTTTGTAACGTACCCGTGTCCTATAGACGCCCTGAATACTTTTGTTTATTGTACATTAGTATTCTATCTTGTTATTGAATTTGATTATAGCACAACGTTGTCTGCATACACGTTCTCAGTTCAAGCATAAAGTCCGTTTGCTTTTCCATTTCTCTCTTTCTTCTATTTTTTTTTTTCCACAGAAAAACAGAATTGTCATTTTGTCCCCACTAGGGATCAGTTTTTTTCGTGCTGCTTTTTGATTTCCTATCATATATATATCATGCTGTGTGAACTTGCTTTTGTTATTGTCGTTGCTTTTCTTGCTGATCTCTGAGTGCTCGTACCTTTACATCGAACGGATAGATAACCTTCCTTATTTCAATATCTGTGAGCCGGAACGTTCAAAGCTGCACACTGGTTCATTGAAAAGCCTATAGTTCTGTTCGTATATAATGGCTTATGTGCAGGATGTGCTTTAAGCTATTCCAGTGATTTCACTCTTCCTCATCTCTCTGGGAAATATCCACGAAATGACGAGTCACACAGGCAAGCTCACGTCACTGTATAAGTGAACGCTTTTTGTTTAAATTCGTGTTCTGTCAATATTTCTATGGTTATTTTATTATGCCTTTACTAGCTTTTCATTCATGATCGCTCTTAGTAAAGCTTATGTAACGCTTAATAATGTACTACATAGTATCATTGCTGTTATTATTCTTTCTATCGGTTTGATAGTTTCGCGTCGTCCGGCTCTCTTCTCCAATTTGCCTTTCTAGTGTATTATCGTTGCCTATCTGTTTTCCTCCTTCTTATTATAATTTTCTGGTCATTTTCGTTTCTCGCCGCGGAAAAACAATTAATTATCATCCAGTACACGCTGGGCAGGAGAGTGGGAATCCGGACGCCGGTGGAAGAATTATCTGTTGTTCTCTCAGAGATCGTCGCTTTGTATACGTGTCGCCACTGACACATTTTGTGTACACATCGTACACACACATCCGTACCTGTTTCTATAACGTTACTACAATCCCACCCCACTTTCATTTATTGTTATTTAACTTTTTCTTTCATCACCGAATGCTAACGATCAACAAGCAGTAGCGGCAGCCACCTTATATTATATATATATATACACATTGTTGATTTTGCTACCCAACACCGATGTTGTTGTGGCCGACATGTTGTTGTTGTCATTGTTGTCGTTACGGCCCTACTTTTGGAGAGATGGGCAAAAGTTCTTTCTGTTAAATATATTCATAGTTGTGTATATTTTACTGCTGAAATAGCACTATCACACTGGATTGTATTCCTTCTCGAGAGTACTTCCTCTCGTGTCATTTTTCGGTCATCGAGTCGTCATCACCATCATCATCATCGCTTTTCCTGTTATTGTTTGCTTAGGTTTAGCTTGTATTATGATTTTTGAAGGACTTATTAAAGTTCTTCAAAAATCATAATACGGGCAGTGGGCAATACGCTGCCATTGCGTTGTTGTTCAGTCTCACTGAATTGAGAACTAAACCCAGTTGTTGTTGATGTTATTGATTGTGTCTCGTTGTTCTTTGCGATATTTTCTTGTATTTCTCACCTTGTTGTGTCAATAATAACTTGTCGAGTTTCCACTTCGAACTTAGGCTTGTGTAACAATTAAGTCATGATGTTTCGTCCTCTTAATGTCAAGCCTGTGAACCATTTGGTCATCGTTCAGAGTTTAGTCAAAGGTTACTTCGTCGAAAAATCTATTCATATGTGGGCTGGCTGTTTTTTTCTTGCGTGTTTATTGATAGTACGAAGTGGTCGTTGGACCATTTGTTGCTGGAGTGTTGTTACCGCCTTTGTCGCTGGTGCTGGCGTCGAATAGACGGTGACTGATACGCTTGTGATCGCATTGCTACATTATTGTTTTTGGTTAACATAGCTTTCTCTATGAAAGATGAAAACATTGTTTATTCGTTTTTCTTCTAGTTCAGAAGTAAAATGGGCGAAATTAAGGTTTGGTTTCGCGCTCTGGCAAACACTGTTGCCTAATTAGGTCTTTTTCTGTCGTTATGCTGCTAGTCAATCCCTATAAATTGATTTTTCCTATTTTTGAAGATGTTGTGTTAGATGTACATGTTCAGACTCATTTAGTTCGCGTTTTTGTTAGGAGAAAATGTCGTCTCGGCGCTAGCCGTTCGTACATCGTACACAGATGTTAACAAACCGTACGCAGACGATTCAGTAGAGGGGTTCTGTTGGTTATCCTTCCTGATGGCTTCGTTCAGTTGTTGCGGTTATTGCTATTAATAATAAAACCGTTTTCATTAGCTTTTAAGCTAATTGATAGTGGTCTATAGCGAGATGCAGTTTTTTTTGTTTTGTTCTCTCTATTTTTGCTATTGTGTTATATGTTATTCGCGTCGTTATTATTACATTGCTTGAGCTGTCTCGTATATAATTGTAATAACTAATGGAAATTTCTGAAATAAAGACACACACACATATATATATATATATATATATATATATATATATGCGTGTTCCTTGATCGATCACAGACAGTATTTAAAGGAAAATCGAATTTAAGACTTGTATGCGATCATCAAATATAACAAATTTATTTGTGCACAGAGATCGTGTTCGCGACGGTAGAGTAAAGGATTGACGTTTGTTGTTGTTGTTGTTGTTGTTGTTGTAGTAACAGGTAAGAAGTAATAGGGTAAGGATAGCAAAAAGCTCTCTCTCCTTCATAGCTTTTTCCACTTTCGTTGTTGAATTGCATCGCTCCAACAGAGTGACATCCGCAAACTAGCGTTTACTATACGAGTCGTTTTGTTTCTAGGTGGTCTTCGCAAACGTCACTGCTGGGTTTAGAGCACAGTTTATTTGTTGGAGGCAGAAAGCGAGGCAATGAGAGAGAACTCGATGCACACTGTCTTAGAGAGATGGAGTAGTTGGAAAACGGTGGGTCGTTCAGATAACAGCTGCTGCTTGTGTAGTGCACGCATTCACGCATTATTAGGTATTATTGTTTAGTGTTTGTGCCGTCAGAGGTCGTTCAATTGGTTGACAGACACGTCCGTACAGAGAAATATAGCGCAGAAACCGCGTTTGTTCAAGTAGAGCTCGAATAGAGAACTGTAAGATTCTTCTATATCAGAAGTTGGAAAGTTCTGATATTGAGGTACATGCTTTTCTAATATTGATCCATTTATAGAATGTCGTACGTAAGAGGTGATTTGCAGTTAGAAAAAAATCGTAACGCTTTTGGCTCTGCGTAAAGGTGCTGGTGAGGTTTATCTTTGGTGAGTTCTTATCTTATGACATATCTGATAACGGAACAGACTCAAACTCTAACACTGAATAGTAATACTGGATGTGACTAGACTGTAACAGTGACTGAGCATATCGGGAATCTCAGTCTCTTTCCTAATCAAGTAATTAGTGGTGACGTATCTAATTATGAACATACAATAATATATTATAGTCGGACAAAGAACGTTCATTTTCACTGGTTTGTATGGTAATAATTAGTGTGCAATTTAATCTTTATGTGCTTATATTTCTGGGCGTACAGATACGTGCCGTTCTTATGTGTAAGCGGGCTTTTTCAAACTATATATCCTTTCCTATCTATCGTAATAGCGAAACTGAATCCTAGGTTCGCTCTTGGTCTTGTCGTAGCTATGATACCGAGTTATCAGTGGCCGTTTGTTTCGTATGTCCAAAACGTTCGCTATCAAGTGTCAAGAACATAACAGAATGCGTGTTGCTAATACGTCCGTACGCCAATATGCGTGTTCCTAACGTTTTTGCCTTTTTCTTTTTTTGTCTACACCGTTTTCACGGGTTATGATAAGAAAGTTGTGCCGTCTCGTACACAAATGCATGTTACACGCGATAGCAGAGATAGGCTATTTTATAGATAATGTTAACAAAAGCTAGATAATAACACTGTCTGTTGACTAGTCCTTCACGGTTCTGTCGAATGTTTGCTTTTATCGTGAGCTATATTGTATCTTGTATTTATTCATCATACGATTCTATCGTGTCCTCGAAACGCTATTGATGTAACGTTGAAAATGTCGCGGCGTTTGTAACGTTTGCCAGTATAGTCTAGTACTATTCAGATCTACTGACTGGTCTGGATAGGCATGTAAGTGTCGCGTTCCCCTCAGTATTTGCGAACATATGTCGTTGTTCTACTATCGTCGCCGTCGTCGCTGCCTAACCTCACGATTTTTTTGCTCGCTGGTCGGTACTGTTAGGCTGCTGTATCAGTTTATTCGACGCTATTGTGGTTATACATACAGACATTTGTATGTGACCGTTCTATGGGAGTGTAGTTTTTAACGGGTCTCCTTTTTTTTTTTTTCGGTAATTTATTTGATACATGTATGTTCTATATTGCAAATGTAAGGTGAACGCAAATAAGGAAAATAGTCCGTGAGATAATGCCGTCCCTGTAATAGACGACGTGTATTTGTTGACAGTATCCATGTGAGATGGAATCATATCTTTTTATTGGTTGTACAGTCATTGAAATGTACTTTTCGCTGTACTTTCGACTTTAGATGAAAAGCACCTAAAGTCGTGTCGTGCCGGTGCTGCTTTATTGCCGTTGCTTTTCATGTCGTATTTTTGAGTGTCTTCTTTGGTTGGTCATCATTTTCGTTGCTGCTATCGCTGTTGGTACAATTATTTAGGCTTTTTTAAACACCTACACACTTGGCCTTAATAGGTTACTTTCTTTCGTTATTTTAGATAAAGGCGGCCGTTTGTTCTGTCCCACAAAGACCTATCAGATATCACTGACTATACGGACTGAATTCGGTCAAATCTACTGGTGTATTGTGGAGCGTTGAGTAAACACCTATTCATAAACATCAAAAATTGTCTGAGGACGGGCAAAAATGGGCTTTTGAACGGCGGTATTCCGTTGACGGTGCCGTTGAAGATGTCCGTGTAGTAGTAATAACGGAAGACTGTAGTAAACTACAGTCGTTCCTGTGGAAGATCTGTGATGCTTTTGGGCTTAGCTTTCTTGCTCGGTTCGCATGTAGTATTGTTGTTGTTATTACTACTATGATGCTGTCCAGTTACATTGTAACAGTCATTTAGCTGGAAGAGGTTTGTTTGACACGTTCGACTACTTTTATTCGTGGGTTGCAGTGTCTGAGGCACAAACATTGTCCTTGTTATTGCCGTCGTCATGCCAAGGATCGATACGAGAAGTGTCGACAAGTTGTTTTCGATGGATGGGCATAGAATACAATATGTAGAAGTTTAGCTTCTTTGCTGCATGTAGTTCTTGTATGTAATCGTTTTTGTTTTTGATGTTTGGTGTAGACGTTCAACAGTCTTCGGGTTGATGTTGCACTTGTTGTTTTTAGTAAATCTGTTGCTGTTGCAGCCAAAGACGATAAAATCTTCGGAAATTTGCTGCTATATTTTATACGCAGTGGCTGTGTCGTTGTTGTTATTGTGGTTCACGTTCCGCGGTGATTTTGTATTCGTTCTGTGATCATTATATTTTCCAGTTACTTCAGTTTTACGCAGACACATTATGTGCACGTATCGCTCCTAGATAGAAAAAAAACGTACGTATCTTTATATATAGTACTGCTATATTTTGGCGATTATTTGCAGGCGTCAAGATTTATCAGCGACCTACTGATTTTTTGATGTATGCGCGACCAATAGTTAGTATCAGTCAATGCAGACGCCGTTTTAGGGTACTGAGAGAAGAGGAGCGTCGTACAAATATATATATCTTATCGTAATGGGTTGAAGTCATTGTATTTCGCCGGTAGGGGTCGTAGTTGTTTAGCTTGTAACTGTGGTGGATAATCACGTGTCGCCGAGGCCCTACTAGTAAGCGCTTTTGATGCATTAGGCACTTCAATCAAATCAGCCTCTCACTTTCAACAGTATTTCCTGAATAGGTGAATATGTCACCTAGGCTATAAGCATATATTAGTCAATATACCTCTATATTTAACTAGGCGTGTCGTTGCCGAATAGATGATATTTTTTGGGTATTTCTTTAGCTTAATCATTACGTTAAGGCTAGAATGGCAACGTTTGGTACCTACGGGTAATATAGCTAGCCGGCTTAATGTTTATCGGTCTCTATAGAACGTTCGATCCAGGACGATTGGTCTGCTATATATAAAAGCGTATATACTCTAAAAGCTTTCGTATGATCAGCTGACAAAGAGCCGTGTTTCGACAAGTTTGCGGTCCAATCCCCATTCGGTGGGACCGCGGCGTATGCACTAGTGCGTACTGATTTGTTGTAGTTGACGTATAAACATTCCGTGCCTCGGTGGCAGCTGTTGCAAATTGGGGTTATGTAGTGCAGTAGTCACTACGTGACCTTTTACCCCCGCGTTCCCCCGAAGGAAACGTTATGTGGAGAACGCTGATAGGTAGATTCGGTCAGATGTTCACGTAGAAAGAGCTCTAGGAAAGAAACTGTTGGTCTTTGACCGCGATCTGTGATCAAGCTTAGTTTCGTTGCTTGCAATTGCATTTTGAAATTTTTACAGTTGCAGTTGCTTTAACTTGAAGGAAATAGCTGAAAGATGGCCTCGGCAAAACACAGAGGGAAAAAATTTGCCATTTCAGAAACAGATTCATTTACGCGAGTTCATCGATGTTGTTTTGCGTAATACGTGCGTTAACGTTTTACACTCGCATCTTGTAGATAGCCTTTGAAGGCTTTCTGCTGTGGATAACATATAATTAAAAGATCGATTGATCGAGATAGTTGAATAATTACAAAGATGACAAAACGTACATGTAAAATGAGTGTGCTTGTTGTTCGCGTATGATACATCGTATCGCAAAACTGTACCCCAAAACAGATGGCTGTCTCAAGCGTGTCCACGTTTTTCGGTGGCAGCACCAAAGAACGTTTCCAAGCCATCGTTTATCCTCTCGATGGGGGTTTTGCTTCTGCTGGGACGCTTTAAACAGCAGCACAATCGTTGCTTCTGACGAGCTGTCGTTTTGTCACGTATGGACGTTACGTCTGTTAATTGCCTTTTCGTTCTATACTGTTATCGTCTTTTTCCTTTGTTTGAATATCGATATTATTCCCAACGCTGTGATTTTTAGAGTCGTACACGCGTTTTTGCTGTACTTCGTTGTAGACTTAGTACGTGAAGGTACAGGTTAGTCTGGGTAAACGGTTGGGGTCACGGGATGTGACTTGAGCTACAGTACTATAGCTGAGTTTAGGGCTGGGCTGTTGGGTATTCTCAGTGTATTCAGAACGCTCCTGCTATATTCCTTTTCTGTTTATTACAATAGTTATTCATAGTTAGTTTTGAGTCCGTTATTGAATACACGCGTACTAAAGGATAATAGCAGCTGGTGGCCAGCAAAGATGGTGTACGCTTTTAGCTAGACTGTGGTGGAGAGTTGAATGGTTTTTACGGGCTGAGCTGAGCTGGAGTTAGTTGGTATCTGAAGCACAGAAGCTGGTCGCAAGGCTTGTTGTGGCCTAGGTTATTGTGGTTGTATTCAATCAGCTGCGTAGCATCATAATAGACGTACTGGAACGTATGAATGATTAAATAGATGGAGGGTGGATTAATGGTGGATGGTAGGGTAATTGGGCAAGAGACTGGGTTCCTGGGCGTATGGTCTTAGGTTGAGAGGATGTTTCTTGGATGACGGGTATCTGGTAGAAGGGCATTTGGTAATCGGGACTTGGTCTTCGATCAAAGTTAGATTGTACAAAAATTATGGTAAAAAAATACAACTTGATCTGCGCTAAAATGGGACCTCGGGATGCGATCGGATAGATTGTTTTGGTTGGGGGCTACAGCAAAACAGGGATGAAATAGCATAAATAGGCTGTCAGAGTTGTATAGATACCTTGATTTGCTTCTGCTTTTTATAGTTGGTACTTCTCGACAAAGGGAACACAACCCTTATGTACTTTGAGTACTAGGAGAAATTATCAGGCTTATTGGGGTCCTCTTGCTCCTAACACATGTTGCGGCTTGTGCGTCCCCACAATGAAAATGATAGATTGATGACATTTGTTTATCAAGCATCCATCATACCCGTTTTTACCCGACTAAAATTGATGTCACTAAGTTCTGTGCTGTAAAGTCAATAGGCACGACTTGGACTACAACGCAGTTTGAATCTTGACTACAAAAAGCATGAGTTAGCACCAGAAATGTGTTTGAATAGTAAACCTATCTTAATTAGACGCACACCGGACAGATTCTAAGGATTCATGTTAGAGTTAGTTATCTCTACAACTGTAGGAACACACGGGACTACCTGAACAGCGGTAGACTACTATCGATTATTTACATTGAGCTAAAACGAAAGGTTGCCCTGTAGTTTTTTTTTTATCTGTCTTTATCGAAGTAGGCTTTGTTCAAAATTATCTTCAATTGATGAAAGTTTTACCGTGGTCCACTGAAGTACTTTCGTTCTGTGTTTTTGTTTTTTTTTTCTGAACAGAGCCTAATTTACTGATCTCTATTAAGTTCCAGTGATGTCGGGTGTCCTCAGTTACATGACTTCGAGATGCTGTAGTCGTCGCCGGTGGGATGAAAGTAAGTTGCTGTGCGTGAAATAGTTTCATTTCAATTCAAATTGTATTATATGAAATTAAGGCAAAAACGCGTTCCAACTAGCCGGCGTAAAAGCAAAGTAGCGTTTATAGTCGTTACATCTTGTTTCGCATCGGATATCTTGTTTGTGTTGCTATATCGTTTGTAGAGATATATTTAAAAGGTTGTCTTTTTTTTTTTTTTCTTTTCTTATAAGAAATGCACTGTTGTTATTATATTACAGCTTGCGCAGGTTTATGTTGTATGATCATTGTCGATATTTCTGACACTGACGTTATTACCGCTTCAACCTGTGTTCTGCCCCTCGTTGTTGTTGGTCGTCACTGAAAAACTGAGGTCGTTCTCCGTACAACGCTTCGACAGAGATAGGCTGCAACAGGTGGTTATTTATGTTAATCTTCAAAGATCTATCTTCGATAGTGTATGACAGTAATGGCGATGGCCCGATGCATACACGCTCCGTTGTTTATTGTTCGATGCGCCATCGAACAATCCGTCTGAAAACAATTGTGAAACATTGATGGTATAATTGATTTGTTTTGTTTGTCTAACTATTCCGGAGATTTCTCGTAGAGCTGTGTTGTCTCTCATGGCTCTGCCAGTTTGGATCTGTTTTTTCCTGGTCGTTTATAACTGCGACCGCAACCTGTAGAGTATAAGGACTATACCCGTGCGAGCTTACACATTCGAAGAAGCTGCTTATGTTGCCAACTGCACGCGCCGGTATGTTTATCTATACATATGTATATATAGTTTCTGCCATAATGGCATAGGCGACATCATTCGAGATTAAACGGGTAACCATCAAAGGTATTGATTTGATCAGATGAATTGATATGGAGATGGTAATATTTGCTCAGTTCGGTTAGACACTGTTTGATATATATGAAATTTTTATATTTTCAATTAAGATGTCATGATCAGGTCGTTTCTTCATGCGAGATTGTTTGCGATAAAATGATGATGTTTTTCGCTTCTCATCATGATGTAAGTAAGATAATGGATTAGCAGAGACAGACGTGTTATCTGGGGATATTGGTTGGCTGATTTGTCACTTGGCACACATTTACAAGGTGTGTGTATATAGGGTTTTTTTTTTGTTGTTGAAGATGTCATTATCATTCGTATTGACCGTAAGATCGTAGATCCATCTATTGGTGGATCTGCAGTCGTGGTGCTAGTAGGCATACTCGGTAATACACCATAGAAGAACAGTGATCAAGATATAAATATTTGAGGAAAATTTGCATACGACTACTGAAAAAAAGCGGGAACATAGGAGTATCAGTATTGAGGTTTTATAGTTTCAGGCTCAAAAAGGTCCTATGTGAAAAGAGCCGCGGATTCAGTAGAGCAGATCAAAAATACACAATTTTTTGTGGTATTTATAGCAGTGGCTGTATATTAGTAAGCGAGAATGCGAACAAACTCGAAGTAGAGAGAGATGCAAGGCTAAGGTAACAAGGAAAGAACAGTTTGAACCTGAGTAGGCTAAGGAATTGCACAAACGTTGCATCGGGATTTGATGTTTATATGCAAAGAGAGAGAAAGGTCTTAAGTGGTAGAATCAGTTGTCATTTAGGGAATGATTTAGTACCAATGGGAGAGGGGTTAACAAGGACAGGCCTTGATAGATATAGCAATAATGCTCAAAATTCTACTACAATTACATGTAATAGAAGAAAGTGTATGGCGTCATGCCATGATTGATCGTTTGCATGCTATCATTATGGCTGGCATTATGATTGATGCCTAGTTAGTGATGATGTTGTCATCAAATATTACTAACAACATTTTTGACCTATTGATGCGACGACAAAATCGTTGTTATGAAGAAACGTGTTTGTGCTTCTACGCTTTTCGCTTGTTTTTTTTTTTTTTTTTCACTGATAATTATAGTTAAGGTTATGTTTTTTCAAATTCTCATCCGTTTTGCCGTGTTGAAACCTATATATGTGTACATATATAAGAGCATCTGTAATGCACCATACGGAATGTCTTCTCGTGTCGATATCAGTACAGATATATGTCACTTTTGGCATCACTCCATACGACGATCACTACCCATTCTCTCTCTTTCGTAATAATTGTGTTTGTTTGATTTTCATCAGGTCAAATATATCTCTTAATTGGTAGCCGTATGAAGATACGGCACGATAGCCGAGTCCTCCGAATGTGGCCGCTAGATTTGGAATTGGGTTTTCTCGCGCGACGACCAAAGTGGTGAGAATTGCCAAAACAAGTCTTTCGGACGGCGAGCGCACGTACGTACGTACGTACGACCTTGCTAGGGGAGGGGGTCATCTGTCGGTTCCATTAGGCCGAGTTTGTTTAGCCATGTCTGATCTGAAACAAACGACAACATCTCAAAGCTGGTGAGAACACCAAGCTCGACGTGCTAATGATAAGGACGAAATTGGGGAATCGTATCAATACCGGGTAGCCGGAGAAGGGGGGGCAGAAAACATCTGGTTTTTCGAACGAAAGCGATCAACAACATCGTACTCGCTGTGAAGATTATGGACAAGAGGTATGAAACATGAGGAGGAGATTTAGTTTAACAAGCGGCAATAGTCGATCTGAGAAAATCGTAATTTCGTGAACAACAGTACTGGCTTGTTCCTATTCATTTCAGTTACTTTTAAGGTGCAAAGGCCACTTCGTGTCTTATGTCTTTTTTATTTGTCGTCTCGATTTAGGGACACGGAAAAGTCTGAAATTCATGAAGGACATTCCAGCGGTAGCGCTGCTTCGGCGAGCATAGGAACCGGTTTACCGAGTAGTTTCAGCGAGATCACAGGCTAGACAACACGACTGTTTTACATATATAGAGATGTATATGGATATAAAGTTTAGTATAAACAACATATATATGTACATAGGGTAATTTTATGGAACGGGGATGGAGTGCTGTAGCACAGAAACATTAAAATCCATTACATACAAATTCGTAAAAAATATGATGCGGGGTACAACGCTATACAGTTGTTATATGACAGATGCAAGTAGCATTTGGTCGACTCGTGACATCCAAATACATCGGCCGTCATTCCGTCATCCAGAATCATTATTGCGACCTGATCATCATTGTTAATTCGATGAGTGCATGATAAGCCAATGAAGTGAGCGCTTTAGTTGGCGTTATCTTCTGTTGTTTTTCGGTCGTATATTGTTTTCAGTGTAGCCGAATGCTATGGGCTTCATTGTTTGTTCTGGTCGGTAGCATTCGCTGATACCGAAATGTTTCCTTTTTGCATACTGGCGTTCAACAAAGGCTTCAATGAATGGCTTCGATATGAACATCTGTCTGTTAGATCCTGTAGATAGAGAGATTCATTCCGTAGTTGTTCTTCTTCGATTCCCGGGAAGAACTCGCGCCACCGTAGCGGGTGACTTATATGGCTGTTGTTGTTGCTGAGCTTAGTTCTTGAATAGTAGCTCACTCACATAGCTTTTGGTGTTTTCTGTTAATTACTTCTATTTACCCGTTCGCTGCATTTTGTAGATAGTCTCGGTAGTTCCGCTGTTACAGGTTGTTTCTCTTGAGTATGGTTATGGCTGATGGTTGGTTCTTGTTGTAGTTTTGGGGAACAATTGGGTTGTAGACTTCGTGATCACATGGACTGATGTGGGCGGTGGCAGATCAAAGACCGGACATTTTATATACGACCACCTAAAAAAGGAGGAAGTGTGTAACAGGCCGTATTTTATTTGCTTAATTAGCTTGGCATAATTTTTTTTTTTCGTTATAGCTTCACGGTCATCATAGCTGAAGCAATCGCACATTACTGTTTCGTTTTCATCGATTGTCGTTTTCAATGAGTGTATTGTTATTGTATGTGCACTTTTGTCGTTGATTGATGTTTGCTGGTGTGCTCTATTGACGATTACGTTCCTATCATAAAAGTAAGATGTTACCAAGACAACCCGTAGTGATGTGCCGAACGGGCTTCGTGATATGACCGCCGTAGAACTATGATATTGCCAAATCTCTTTGACAGATACTGTATGTTTGATGCTCGTACAGGGTAACTTGCCAGTTCATATATATATTTTTTGAATAATTTCAATTAGAAGACTTTCTCGAGAAAAGTAGATTGTGTTGTCATTGTTGTCTCCGTGTCAAACTAACATCGAACGAACCGCGGCCTTGACGGTGCAGCATCATCGAAGATTGTTGTTAATTTGCGACTCCTTAAGAACGAGGTCATAATGTCTAGCGGTTATGTCGAGTCGTAAGTTTTACGTACGCCCTTCCATCAGTTAATGTCGTTTTTAACCATCACTATCATCTGGTCTGCTTACGAATTTTCTTTGTTTACTACTCTTTGTATTATTATTATCGTCGACTGGACTCGGCTGTTCGGTAGAAAACGTAGATATCACTTTTGACGTGGTCATAACCCACATGAGTACGTCGCGATCACTAGGTGTTGCTGTCAAATCATATTCTTATAAATGTAACAGATATTAATGGTTATCTAATTTAGGAGGTATTGTTGATTGTGATACGTTTAGCTTGTTCTTGGTAATTACAATTAATTAGACTTGTTTTCACTTCTTGTTGAGGTGTAAGGTTGTCCATATGGGGACAATAAACGTTACATCTAGGTGGTATAAACGGGGCGTGTCGCATCTATGGATTGGCACAGAAGCTGGCCGGGGTTGAGAGGCGCCATAAGCAGACCCCGGAGAGCGGCCGTGCAAACCGCAGTTCGGTCGATGAACTTGAATTCAACTACAGCCACTTACCACTAGAACTCCCTTTTTTCCCCTGTTAATTATGGATGCCAATCTTAACATCAATCAACCAATAGCTCGAATCAACGTCATCAATCAACGAGACTCTCACATTCCTACTCATTCAGGGCCAGTCAGGCCGTATTTCATATATATCAATCCAATCATCTGGGTACCGTCATTTTTAGCATCGCGGTCACTGCCAATCATCAGAAGTATGGGGAACTAGAGCCATAACTTTGAGTCGTGGAAGTAACACGCAATAATTGTTAAACATTCGAGTAGTACTACTACTAAAAGTACACGATAGAGGAAGTAGAGTAGACGACAGAGGGGTTCCAAACGGGAGGGGCGGGGGCTAACAGGGAAGAAACGACGGCGTATCCAAGGCCGTACCGCAAGCACCAAGCGTGTTGCAGGGCGGTGTCGTCAAAATGATCAGGACGTGTTGAAGGCCAGACCATAGGAGGGATAGGGCCGGCAAGCGCTCTCCATTCGGTATTGTTACAGTAGTTATTTTTCTTAATAGAGGAGAGTCTAGGCTTATCTGAAATTTGGATTGTTGTTCTGTCAAAGCTCCGGCAGAAGTGCAAACATTTCAGAGACCAGGTGTGATTTGGGTGCCCGAAGTGCGGCCAGCGGTGCCATCAGTCCTGCTCAGTATCGTTTCCACAGCATCGTCTGAGCAGGCAGCACCGAACCGTCGGGCTGTCGAACAGCAGCAATGGCAAGCTGGGAGCTCGACAGCCGGGGAGAATAGCCCGGCCGTTGTCAAAAAAACTCAACCCCGGCTCGGGCCGGGGGGCCTGTCGGGAATATTGGGGTTGGCGTTTGCATGGGTCTGCGGGATTTTTTTCATACTTGCGCGTCAGACCGACTGGCGTCTGCGAGCGGAGCGGGCGAGGGACGGATAACCACCTTGGTCTTTGTGTCGTCTCCATCCACAACGACAATGGCGGTATCCTGGGCACCTCCTGTCTCCTCATCCGAATCGTCGTACTCGCCTGATTGATAGCAACGAGAAACCAAAAAAAAATGTCATATACGTATACATAAGTAGACGTGCAAGCTAATAACGGCGTTGTGAAGATAAATATCAACCACACCATTATGATTTGCCGTACTTTTCTTGTAGTTAGTTTAGCAATTCGAACATTAGACTAGAACAACAACATCAGGATCTAGCTATTTCTTGTGACGGGTCATGTATGCTTACCCTTTGACCTCCGCCACGCATGCTGAATGACACGAGCACAATATTCTTGCCGCTGGCGAAGGAGGGTGCTCGAGATAGGTTCGTATCCCGGCCGGTCGATGTGAATCACTTGTTCCGTTAGTTCCGGAGGCTCCTCGATCTGATGACCCTTACGAGCGAAGAAGTCCCGCGTGAGTGCGTCGAGGATGTCGACACAATACACCATGTCTCCCTTGCAGATCGGGATGTCCAGCGCGATCAGCTTGTACTTGTTGGGTTTTGGTATCTGCAGCGGCTCTTCTAGGGCGTTAACAAAGTTCGACAAATGGGAGTAGGGCAGGTACTGGGTGCCCTTGGGGTCGAACTGCTGCCAGATCTCGTAGTACATATCGTAATCGTCGTCCGTTAGACCTTCCTGGACGTCTTCTGTGGCCTGCGAGTAGTTTTCGAGGATGACGGCAATGTACATGTTGATGATCACCAGGAATGAGATGATCAGATAGCTGACCAAATATGCTACAGCTATGCCTTTCTTGCCACAGTTTCCTTCGGTCTCGCCATCCTCGTCGATGGTGGGTTCCTCGCAGTCCGTTTCGTCCATGATCGCGGCGAGGACATCACTCCAGCCGGCGGACGTACACATTTGGAACAGCAAGATCATGGACTGGCCGAACGTTTCGAAGTTAAAGTTCTCGTCGACGCCATACCGATGTTTCACGTTCATGAAGAATGACATGCCAAAGATGGCGTAGATGAACATGACGAGGAAAAGTAGCAGGCAGATGTTGAACAGCGCCGGTAGAGACATGGCGAGGGCAAACAGCAGTGTTCGGATTCCACGAGCGCCTTTGACTAGGCGCAGAACTCGGCCAACCTTAACGACGCGTACAACCCGAAGCAGAGTCGGTGACACGAAGTAGGCGGCGATCAGATCCTTCAGGACTGTGCCAAGGATCGAAAGGATAACGACGACGAAGTCGAACATGTTCCAGGGTTCCTTAAAGTAGTGCCAGCGCAATGCGAAGATCTTAAGCACGCATTCTGCCGTAAAGACGGCAATGAAAAAGATATTCAGTCTCTCTAGGATCGATTCGAAAAAATCGGATTGTTGATAGTGTTCCATAGCCATCACTGTCATGTTGAGCACGATGAAGATCATAATTGCCATGTCGAACATTCTGTTCGTCGTCAGGTCGAATATCATTGCCTGAAGTTTAAACTGTAATAACGCAGTTCAGGGAAAAATGGCAGGTGAGAAAAGTAGCGCGTTTTTCTATTGATAAATGCTAATGTTGTGCTATGGCGGCAAGTGTGATACATTGGTAACATTGCCTACTGTTAGCGGTAGCGACGTATAGCCAACAAGGCACTTGGGGCTTTAACCTTTGCTTGGTCGCGATTGATTAGCCTACTTCTCCTGGGCTATGATCCTAATTAGGTTGTACTTACTCTTGGCCGTGGAATAGCCTTTGCGGGTTTCTTTGATCCCATTTTCTTCATTGCGTTGTAGTATTTCTTCTGGTCTTCGGTCATAAACATTTCCAGGGATCCTCCAGCTTTCTTCTTTTGTTCATTGAAGTTATCGATGATTACACCGATAAATAAGTTCAGGGTAAAAAAGGCCCCGAAAATTATGAAAAATACGAAGTATAGGTACATGTAGATGTTCACTTCGTAGTCGGGTTGGTCGTCTTTGCCCCTGGAGTCAGTGGCATGAGCCATGATCTCTGTCCAACCCTTAAACGTTGCCACTTGGAACAAAGCCAAATAGGCATTGAGCACGTTATCGAAATTTATCATAGGGTTTTTCCAGGTAAAGTTGTTATTAATGCACGCTTCTTTGTTCGGAATAAACGTCGAGTTCAATTGGGAGTTGTTGGCGTCTACGCAGTGGTAGAATCTGCCAGCGAACATCTGGACACCCATGATAGAGAAGATCAGCCAGAAAATCAAACAGACCAGCAACACATTGAAGATGGCAGGAATGGCTTGCACTAGAGCGTTAACTACGACCTGAAAAAAAGACATGAACAGACGTATCGCGCACGCGCGCACGTGTACGCGGCACACAAGCACGGGACGAGACGAAAGAAAACAACAGCACAAACGGACAGACACCGGCGGACGGTAGACCGCGTTAGAACTTTCGATATACCGGTTAGAAACTTCAGAGCACAAAGAGTTCTATCCTTCTGTTTCCAATCGTATTTTTTGTTCATTTTATTTGGGTATCAGTTTGCGACATACAGTACGGGTACATACAGTTATCGAGCTGGGTTGGGTTTAGCTTTCACGGAATTCAACACATTGCAGATCGTCGCATGCCAACGTAACATACAATATTCGTCATACTCGATCCATGTTACTATTGCAATTACTACAACTTGTTGTAACAGCAGCGCTGAAATTCGGTACTCACTAAATTGTGATATTACCGGCAAACCTTCCGTCTCAGGGTCGAATACAATCATTTTTTTTTTTATTAATGTTCATAAAAAGGCTTTATGCTGTCAATGGCGACGATTTGTGGACGAAGGTACTGGTAAAAAGCGGCGCGGGCTATGCGTTAGAGTTCTTTGGCTTGCCATTCCAAAGGCAACGGTGATAAGACAGTGGTAATATACTTATAAAATAGTCATAGCAAGTAGCACTCTCCAATGAAACAATCAATCCAGGTCTTGATAAAATTAGCTCCTGTGTTTATGTTCGTTCACGGCTTAGGTGTAACCTTATTTGTAGGTCAAGTCGTTTATGGTGCACTCAGACGCATGCGTATGGTGGCGTGCGATTTTTATGGCGTTTTCAGCAGACTGCTCGTTTAAATCGTTTAGACTTATGCTCACGTTTACCGCAAATCAACAAACGTAGTAACGACACAATTGACGATAATAATCGTTGTATAAGAAAGCCCAAGGTAGTACCGAAAGTAGCAGTGATCCAATGCTTCAAGCATATACAAGTCCACCATGTATTACTACTACCTGTTTAAGTACTTTATCGTTTAAACGAATTTCCCGTGTCTATTTTGTTGTCGAATGCTTTTTTTTTCTTACCAAACCGACAAGATAGCTTTTCGTTGCATTCACCTGAAACTCATTCGACTCATTCCAGTGGCTCAGACCATTGTATATGCATCCTTATTGCTTTCATCGAAATATCTCTAGCTCAGCTAGCGATCGCAGGTTCATTGTTATAATCCGGAACTGCTAGCAGCAACGTGTTATTCCGTTGCCTTTCTTATAGTAGCATAAGTAGTTATAATACTCACTTACATTTTTCAATGCCTGTCACTAAAAGTTGCGAGCCCATCGAATTGAGTTCTATGACTCCAGCAGCCAGACCCGCCGCCTTACCGTCCGTCATGGCACCATAAGAAGTGTACATCATAGTACAGTGCGAGAGCGAAGTAAGAGAAGGTATTCATTTCTGCTGAGGGTTGAGCTATAGGTAATAGGGGCTAGAGGGTGAAAGGCCTTCGCAGGCGGCTGGCTAAGGCACACCGCGCGGCCGACTCAAGGAGATTCAGGACAAGGATGAGGGGCATGACGAATACGCTATTAGGCGAACTACTCATTCATTGTAGGCGCCTCAACAGGGAACAAAAGTTCTGCTATTGCTTAGTAGGCCTGTTCGATTGCTTCTTTTTGCCTTGTACTTTTTCTCCAGCTGACCCAGCTAAGGCTTAGAACTATCTGCCACTCCTGGCATGACCGCTTTCAGATACAGTGTGCAGTGGAGGGCCAATTGCTGTTCGTCTCGTACCGGCACTTAGGCCGTCAGCTTTAAACAATCTAAGCAACATTTGAAAAGATACGGACTGTTTTCGGCCCTATGTTTCATATAACTGTCGTTTTTAATTGCCACGCAACCAGTATCCTGAAGCGCATTGCACAGTACTTGAAGATGACTAACTTTGGCCTTATGCAAAACATTAGACAACTTAATGGAGCTGTCCCTTAGACGCATACGGTGAAAAGTTAAATTGGCGAGAGTGAAGATCGTATAGATTAGCGGTACGTAATTGTTGTTAGAAGTTTTTACGTTTATCAAGAAGGCACAGCAATCGTCGCCAACAACTTTTGATGAATTCAAGTAAGAGTAATCGCCTGTAATCTCAGTTGCTATCCAAGACACAAAAAAAAAAAAGAAAAATTTCCCTGAACGAAAAATCATGGATACAAGACTTGGAAAGTCTTAGGAACTTTTAGAGGCGGGCTTGGTTTAAAAACAGCACAAAAGCATTCTTTAGCGTATCTCTGTTCCCGTAACAGGTATAGTATACGAAAGAAAAGGCGATAGGCGCTTATGGGAAATAGATGTTTGGTCGGCTTCAGGACAAGAAAAACAGCATGAACAGTACGCGAATCAAAGGGTCGCAAGGGAGGCACTTTATAATATTTCCTTAAAGGAGAGTAATGGCCTTCGTTGAAATCATGCAGAGCAGATGAATTAGTTGGTGTTTAATAGTGAATGGCTCTTTAGTGGCGAACGCAGTTGGTGCTTAAAAAGAACAAAGGCAAAGTTATTGATTTGTGCCATAACAGTTATTTGGACAACTTATAAATGAGATTTGTTTCTTTTCCTTAAGTTGTCATTGCCGCCAAATGCGACATGACAAGTGTCGACGTTCGATAACCAAACACTGGTTTCCAATGCCTTCAACGGGATTGTAGCTAATCTCATTAAGGAACGAAACTTCCAAGAGTATCCAAGTTGTCGTGAGTGCGCAGAGATAATGAAAACCGAAGCTAGCTTCTGTGGCAAGGAAATAAAAACGGTGTTCCCATAACTATTCGAGTTAGGTCATGATCTATAGTAATGATGACTAAGAAAGCCAATATATGGGAGGTCGACGAGATGCTTCGAGGCGAGAAATAGCTTGGGAATTACCTAGAGGTTTGTCAGGAAAAAGACATATAATAGTACAATAGAACCATTGTAGGAATATGTATATGCAAAACATGACCGCAATGTTAAGGGTACGACGCACTATGAACAGATTTGATCGAAATATGGCATGAACGAATAGAGAGGAAATCATAGGAAAATACAGAGGCTAGTAGAGACAGGTAAAAGCGAAATGGCATTACACAACTGAACGTCATTCTGCGAGTCGGAGTTTGCCGATCGGTCGGAGTATTTAATATTGGCTACTTCTGGGGACTCCCGGCGCCAGCGACTCCGACTCACACATGAGAAAATGAAGCCAAGCACTGCACAGACAGAAAGCAAGCATTTGGGAAAGGTCGATTACGATCGTATGGAATAGAACAAGACATCGCCTTGTATCCGCAGCGTGTATGAACATTTTTATCGGCAGACGCGAATCATAAGTATGCTATTAAAACCCACGTAAATCAGAAAAGGGTCGGGTAATGGCTGATAGCAAACAAAGCGCGAAACCTGTCATTTAAATTCTATCAGTTCGACAGACTTTGAACCGTCGTGGTAAAAGATAACTGGGTAGAAAAGACTAAAAAAAGAATGTTAATTGTCGGCCAGCTTTCGCATAACTCAATTAGCTGGTGTTAGTAATTCTTCTGTAGCTTTTCGTCGGAAAGATGCAGGCCGCTTGATAGCAGACTGGCTTGAATAACTAGAAAAATGAAGGCCTTGCGATCATTGTAAGAAATTAACCAATCACAGAACATAGGATGCCCGCTGCTGCTCTACGTCTTTCAGCTGAACAACGTAACGTATGATAAATGATCATTATCAAAACAGCGAAGGCTGTCGATAACGGTAGCTAGTTAAATCAGCTCAGTAGTGGTAGCGGATATAATTTCGAAAAATAAAACAACATTCGCTGGCCGTCGCAGACTTCCTCTTGGCCTGATTTTGATACGCACGTCTATACAGTGTATCATTGGGTAGAAAACGATATCTTTTTGCCAGCTCATCTAGTGGCCAAAAACATCAGCCGAGGAAACAGAAATAACGGAGACCCTGCTAATATTTATAGGAATAGAAATGAAAGTAAAAAAAAAAACGTAACAAGATTATTGTTTTTTCTTTGTAGAAGCGAAATTTGTCGATGATTGATGCTTACCCTCATGCCTTGGAAGCGGGAAAGCGCTCGGAGTGGACGCAAGGCACGCAGGGTTCTCATCGTCTTGAACGCTTGGATTTTACCGGCTCCTAGCCATGTGGCTACTAGATTGATCACAGATACCTATGGATTAAAGGTAAACAGGGTGTGATGTAGAATAACGCGGGTTGCAGGCGCGTTCTTATCTGAGCGATGTTCTGTGAGACAGATCAAGATAGACTGTGCGTCTAGCTGATTGGCGGGGCCGCTCCGGCGCTCACGCTGCTGCCCAACAATCAGACCAACAGGGCGACTCGTGGAGTCGTTCAGACGGATTGTGTGCCGATTTAGCTTAGATTGCTTAAGCAGGCAGAGCAGCAAGCGCCGGAGCCTGCGACGATTGCACTGAGATAACATGATGTAAGCAGCAAATAGTAATGTCGTTGTTCTCGTAGTTCTAGTTTGTTCATTTGTTTGCTTCTACTAGAATAGAATGTGGGTGAATATAAACAAACATGAATGAATTAGATGAATGTATAAATGGGAGGTTCCTGGGAATGATAATGGATGATCAACTCTCATTGGTTTTGCTACTGTGTACTCTGTAGACACGGACGCAGGATTCGCCCTGGACGGAGCGATTGTAAGAGACTGCAAGAACGATTACATATTAATATCACGGTTTGGAAAAGGAGGATCGGGAAGCGAGGATTTCTGCTTGTTGCTGGCAGTGGATGTAAAGTCAAAATTCCGGGTGGGGATCATAAAGGAAAGGATTAGTGGGGAAGGAAACAGGTAGCTGGGACACGGTTTCAAGGAACGAGAGGAGCTCTATATACATTACTGCTATAGCTACAAGACCTCATAGCGATTGAAGGCGTAAAAAAGGACGAAATTCACACAGGTTACTGAGAGCAACGACGATGGGGTAGTGACAGTTGCGTCGATGAATAGAACGGTCACCAATTACCAATTATTAGAATCTTCCCGGCACTAGTTCCGTTGTTTAGCAATGCTATGCTTGCGTCTCCTGCTGCTTGTTTCTGTGAAGCTGATTGAACATTCGGTAACAGGAACTCTGGAGCTTGTGGTGCTTGTAGTAACAGAAAACCGCACTCTTTGGTAATTGTGTGAACGGAAGGCAGAGCGGTCAGTAGCGCTCGTTTTTCGTTGAAAACGTCATTGTTTTAAATCTATCGATTGCTTCGTCGACATTCTTCACCCATAACTTTTCTTTGCTGCCACTCTTCGTTCGATGATGATGCCACATATCGTATATTTACTGATGCATACGTTGAGTTCGTTGACAGAGTTCGAAATCTGAGAATTTATCTTCTAGCGAGAAGCTTGCCTCCCAAGCGAGACAAACTTCCATGTCTACAGTGGACTCTGAGTGTGAACAGCTCAGACCACAAGGATGCAAATACATCTAATCATTTAGTTCTAGTCTAATGTTTCTACTCTACGAACAAGTCACTACCTCTACTAGTTACCGCTAAGAAGTTACTCAATTATTCAATCGTGCTATTTTCTAATATTACACAATGTCTACTACATGGTCACATCTAATACTAACCAAGTAACTTCACATTCATACGTAAGTTTCTCATCTCATACCGGCTAGAGCCACTATTGGCGAGCAGTTTGATAACTTGCAAGTTTAGGTTTGATATTTGTTGCGCAGATCCGCAGTAAACAGATAGCATTTATAGAAATCGATAGGCATAACTTATATGCAACTTTCAACAGGAACTGTGCGTTTTCCTAAACAGACGTTTGCCCGGTGATTTGAGGCAATAAAAGAAAAACATTGAAAGTGTTCGCCGAAATCAAAGACGATAAAACACATAACTAAGGATACGCACGCACTATTAAATCTATAATTTATACGTACTACTGGTACACGTGCCGTCGAAGGTTTATTTTTTATTTAACAATGTGATGGTAAGAAAACCTTCCAGAGTCGCACATTAAACAAGATCTGCGCATAACCAAAGTATACTACTACTCATTTATATATATATGTGTATATACATGTACATGTCATGTTTATAGGCATGGCCTATATGACGATTGTGTGTGTCACACCTGAGCTAGCACAATACATAATGCCTTGCTTGGAGACGCTCCACACGCTGGCGTCGTGGATCGGTGAGCGTCAACCTGCCGCGGGTCCAATCCTCGACAGCTTCGCCTCGGTCGGGCGGTCACAGAGATTAAGCCAAATAAGGACTAGCCGTTAAGTATTAGCGTAACAGAGACGCTGCGTTGCTTGTACGTGAGAAAGTGAATCAATTTTGGTACACCGAAGGAAATTGAGAACAAAAAGGCAATAGAAAGTTCAGCGTACGGATACAATATCAGTATAATCAAAAAGCCCGCGGTGGGACGAGCGGTGGAGAATCGGTACCGCTAATAGAGGTCATTGCGGCGGTCGATAATCATAATAATGACAACAATAGCAATGTATGTATCTAAAGTTCGAGCGGGTATCGAGCTCTAGCGGAGCGAGCCCCTCTTCTTCGCCTAGCGCAAAGTTTCGTTTTCAGAGAAAGCAACGAACAATCAATCTCAGTCATCAACTTGAAGCGTTAGTAGCGTTAGTTTGCCCATATCACTTAAATGTCCACCCAAGTTTCATTCTAGAATTACCTTAATAATAATGGCTTTTCGTTGTGATGTCAACATCGTATATGAGTCAGCTAACATCAATCAACATGAACAGTGCTATACCACGTAGCTACAGCCAGTCCGGCAGTAAAAGAACTTAGTTGCTCTAATAAAAATAACTTGATATTTTCTAGATTGTTCTAGCTATATATTCTATCGTTTTTATTTCGTGCAACTTTCTCAGAATCATCTCTTGTGCTAACGCGTTGCTTGACGAAAACTACGTGTTCTCCCATTAGCACCCGCGAATTTCAAATGATGGGTGGCCTTCAGAAAGCGAGCGAGCGGGCGGGCGCCTCAGAAGGCAGACGAGCACGACACAATGTACAAGTAAGCTAAGATTAAATTCGTGGTTCTATACGTATTGTCCAATCTACACAAGCCGGATTTTTAACATGTCTTTCTTTTCTGCATGGTTCCGTTTGCTTCGACGTTCCATAGCTACTTACTCGCATCCCTTCCAGCCGAGACATGGCGCGGAGGGGACGAAGCGCCCGGAGGGTTCGCATTGTCTTAAATGCGGGTACTTTCCCAAAACCCATCATAGTTACTGCCAGATTAATAACCGATACCTGTCGAATAAGAGGAGGTTATTGGAGTGAGAGTTTCACAGATTGCCTAGTCGTCGACCAGGCTACCGAAACGTTTGATGCTAATGCGTAAGCCGAGCGGAGGAATCGGCCAAACATACGTTGGCGTAGCGTTTATTTTTTTATGTTTATCTTGCATCGTCATATTAAGTTTGTTCTTTGTTCACGTTCTCGCGCAAACAGCAGCACTGGCTTCGTACAACTGTCACCGCCACCATCGAATAATGGATCTGTGCCAGTAAAATCTACAAAATGCCGCTGTAGATCGATTTCAGCTAAAGGTGAAACGGCAATACTGAACAACAATGCGTATACTCCGCCCATCGCGCACTCAACGAAGGCACAATGTGATTGGATTGAGTGTCTCAGAGTACATCGTAAATCGTAGCCGTTGTATAAGCTTCTCATGAGAAGGTGATTAGGGAGTACAAAACAAAGCCCAAAACAGGATACCATAAGCAACATAACAACAAGATGTCTAACATAAATAACAAACGATACATGAAGAACCATCATTCAAAACTCAATGATTAGATACAGTGAGGACGAATAGCAGGTCACGCACAAGGATTGTGATACCGCTATCTTATGCTACGCTTTTCCAGCACAGTTCGTTCACTATAACTCAACAGTAATTTAGTCAGTACTAGTAACAAGCCGCGGCTTCGATTTACCTAGGCTTGTAGCCTTGTCAGGCGACTCAATAGAACGCCAACGAGTGATGTGTTAAGTTTAAGCTATACTTCACAAGTAACTTAGTGCATTTGTCCGATAGCGCCGACAAATCAAGCTCTACACAGCTTTCGGATACGCTGCGATTCGCCTCAGCTGGTTTAAAAACAAATGATGGTGATGCCCTGGGTCTGATCGGGGTAGCCCAAGTTCGAGTATCTTCCGACGCGACCCCGATCCGGGGGGCACCAGTCATATTACTCACGAGTACGATGACAAAGTCGAGCCAACACCACGCGTTGGTGAAATACTTTTGGAAACCAAAGGCTAGCCATTTGAGTAACATTTCGAAGAAGAAGATTACGGTGAACGTTTTGTCCATGACATTCAGTATGTTGATCAGCCACTGACGTTGTTTCAGATTTACGTCTTCCAAAGCCTACGAGAAAAAAACAAGTAGACAGAACAAGTGAGTGACGCATAACTTGATAATGAATCGTTCTTTCTCAAGTCATTGAAAAAGGTTCCGTCTTCTGAACGGGCAACAATCGAGGATCAATATGGATATGAATTACTGTTGCCACAGGATTGCAAACATGTTCACAGACAACGACACAGCCAAAGAGCTTGAAGGGTAAAGGGAGCACTGTTTAGAAAATAGCGTACGGGTCTTGGGACCGCATTTGATGGGTGTTTAGCTGGTATACTGTACCGTTTACACTTGCATCTAAGGCTTCCTCTCTAGTGGACTTCTTAAGCGATCTACATATATACATAGTAGCAAACAAGGAAGTAGCAGTAACGGAAATTATAACGCTGTTAAACGTGGAACTGATCTTCCAGCATCGGTTTATCTAGCTGGAAGATGTCGTAGCCCACTTACGTCCGATACTTTAATTTCATACGATACGGCGTTAACTGAAACGGCCTATCTTTAACAGTACCTATCTCCGACACCGCTTACCAAGGCGAGGCTGCTGGTCAAGATGAGGACGACGACAATGGTCTCGAAGTACTTATTCTCGACCAGAGCGAACGCTTGCGACCGGTACAATTTGTACTTGGCAAAAAGTGGCTGGGAATCATCGAAAATGCAGCAGCAGGCGAACTTCACGTAGCAGCATTCGGGACAACAATCGGCCGGCAGCTCAGGGATGATGAGGTCAGAGGCGGCTGTTTCAAGGGCGCCGCCTTCTAGTTGCTCCTTGTCTTCTTCAGCCCCTACATCACTACCACCAGCGTTTTCTTTTCCTTCTGCGTTTGCAGGCAGAGAAACGGTTGCGTCGCCGCCGTCGCCGACGTCATCCGCGAGGCCCTCCAGTTTGCCATCAACTTCATCCCCGTCGTCGCCGGAGGACTTATCCTTAGATGCGGCCAGGCTTACAGGCGTCGCGTCTTTGTTCACAAAGGCGTGAGTTCACCCATAAGGGCAGCAACGGCCGAAGAACGTCACAACGAAAAAGAACAACGACAGGATAGAGCAGTTAGATAACATATACGATAGTAAAAACAAAGTTTGAGATAAACAGTGGAAAATGCAGCCACGCATCTAAATCGCTATACCGATGGGTGGAGAAAAAGTAGAACTCTAGAATATTAATGATGCTAATGAATAAATACATACAACTGAAGGGAACGAGTAAAATAACGAGTATAAATGTGTCGATCTCTGAACATTTGTAAAGTATGTAGGTACGGTCGCCGTAACTAGAAAACACTCTTTCCGAGCAAATTGTATTTATATCGAATAGAGAACATGTACTTGATAGACCAAAGCTTTATTGATTAGCACTGGCGGTCACAAGACGAACAGCAGACAAGCATACTTTGTCTGACAAATTGCCTCTAAAGGCGGGCTCAGCTTACTAAAATGTTTTTCCACTAGTGTCCTCATCCTTTAAGATACTGTTAAAAATATATAGAGCAGGAACACTACAGGACATTTCTGTTACTTGTGGCAAATGATGTTAGCTGACTATTTATAATTTCTGCTGGTAATGTCTCAGGCTGAAGTTTGGCGGTTTGTCTATAAGTGTGTCTATTCTTGCCATTCGTTTCAATTACGGGTTCACTCTATTTATGTACGGGAAAATGGGTTGTTTTGCTGTCGTTAGGAGCTTGGAAGGCATACTAGAATCTGTAATAGAAAAGGTAATAATGAGTGACGTGGTGAGTGAGACAGCTTATGTGCTTTTTGAAGTATCAGGAGCTTACCGGCAAACTGGGGGTTGTTCTCGTGTTGATCGAGGTTTGGAGGTTCGCCGCTGAAACGAACAGACGTCAAGCCGGTTCCGGCCGTGAGTGGGGTGGTGAGATTGTTCTCCATGGCAGGTGTCGCTCCACCTCCAACTGCCGCAGTAGTCGTAGTTGTCCGCTGTTGTCCACCAGGTGGCAGGCCCACACTGTCGTGAGACAGAGGCTGTTCAACTATACAGGAAGGCGAGCTGAGCGGCGTGGAGGCCCCAAGCTCGGTGTCTTGCACGAGGCCTTCGCCGTTGTCGTTCGGCTTTACCAGGCAAAAGTCGGGGCCTGGATGAACTTTGTTGCTAAATTCCTTTGAGTTGCCAATGATAGGTCGGGAATTGTTTTTAAGCTTTTGCATTACAATCACCTGCGCCTGTTGCTTATCAGCTTGAAAACCAATATCCAACCTGATCAAGGATTGGAACAGGTTGTACAGAAGTAGTCGAGCAGGTATCCGAGCGACATAAGTGAACCAAAAAGGAACAAACGGCATAATGTGACGCAATGATGTTCAATGCTTTTATCAACGGTTATCAAAAGTGGCGGAGAGTTATCAAACAGAGACGAAAAGGAACGGGAGCACCGAGAGGAAATCCCGTCGATATTAGCGGAATTAATGAAAATAGAAAACAAAAACGTGAATGAATCGCATTATTGATGGTAGTGTTATTATCGCGTTATTGATTGAACATAGCTGGAATGCCGATAAAATGTTTGACGACAGTGCCGGGCGTAAAATTAGAAACATTATTTTAGAAGCAATGACGCCATATGATTTATTTATGGTCTCTCTTGTTTGAATATTTTTGAAATTAGTTTTAGAAACTATGTACAGTACGGTCATGTGGCGCTTACGAAAAACCTTCTTCTACGCAATAAATTTAATAAGTTATAGTAACGTAGTAACTTTAAAAGGACAACCGGTAACAGTTTGCTAACTTTCATTTGTTCTGGCCTGGTAAAGATGTAGGAACTATTGTCCACTATAAATAGAGTCCAATGCTGGAGCCTAAGACCAGCATAAGACGCATCACCAGTGTGAAGGATACCCACATCTGCGGGCTAAAAGAAATGTTAGCGAAGAAATCTAGCTTGAATTCTATGTATCCGGCAAGGTGAATTTTTTTGTTTATGGATACTTGCCTATCGATGAGTTCGGGCGTGGGGCTATCCTTCTTAATAACCTGTCCATCCATAATAATGACCCCTGTGTCGAGGTCCAGGTCTTCGGCGTAGGTTTGATCCGAGATCTGGTTGCGCTGTTTACCCGAACATAGCTGCAATGTGGAAACAACCAAGACCTGTGAGGTCCCAACCGGCAACGGCAGTGGCCTACCAACACTTAAGCCATTAATAGTGACAGTTAAGGCAATAGCTCTGCGGCCATTCTGGCACTATAAATCATATGACTTCCCATGTTACATTGACGATCCGGTTTTGGTTTCGAAAAGCTGCGCCTCGCAAAAAAACTAAGCTAGCTTAACTTAATGTTCAGCACGCGAACTTTTCCCAAATCAGTTCGTCGGGGTGCTCTGCTTTGAAGGGGCATTGACTAAGTAAGTTTACGGAAAATCGCTTCGAAAATGGGGTACTCGTCGCTTACGGGCCAGGTCAATGGGTTTGATAGAAAGAGATTAGACCATAACGAATGGAATTAATGCTGGGACACGACATGAAGAAATACGTACGTACATTATTTGTGTTGGGTTTCTATTTGGTGCAAAGGTGATGTAAAGCTCTTTTATCGTCGGTAAACTATTATCCTCGTTGGATCTTACCAGACAAAACAGAGGAGTATATTTCAGTATTGAAGTTTAGAGATCATCAATCCACGATGAAAGCTTTTAAATAGCTTGGCAAAGTAGAGATTCGTCTGTCGTCTGTTACGTGAGTGTCAATTGGTAGGCACAACCTGATAAAAAATGAGAAATATTTCTAATTGTTTCCTTTTTTCCTATGAAATTGTGCCTTAAATTGCATATGCCAGGCACAGATGAGTACGCAGACGTGCGACGCAAGTTCGAGGGCGCACGCCGAAGGCCAAACCTGCTGCGGGTTTTCTACCCGATGGTCGTTGACTCGATCGGTTAGTGTTATGTCCAATGCAATTTGCATGCAAGTGTGTGTGCATACTTCACGTGTAATAAGGTCGCTCCGAGCATCGTTGTAGAGTTGGCTTTTAAGCTTATTAGCACCTCAGCGTCTCGTACCATCAGCAGGCGCTATGCCACCCTCGTTGTCGGAAGGAGTAGTTATACTGAGCCTAAGGTCACCTTTCTTGGCATCACAATTGCCGCACCTGTTCTTAGAAAGACCTTGGAAGCGAGGAAGAGGATGGAGGGAACCGTGACAACAGGGATTGCTGCGCTTAAGCTAAGCTTAGCACTTCCCTAAACCCCCTTCTAGAAACGGCTTTCAATTACCCAATTTTCTATGAGCAGTCTGGGCCAAACTTAACCGGGGAAAATAGAACAGAAAAACGGTAGATGGCACGACCCGAAATTCGTAAAAAGGCCTGCACAATATTTTGCACCGATGCTGGGTGGCTGTTTTAGGTCCAACATAGAGGTATAAAAACAAGGCAGTGCAGCTAAGGAATATCAAGGCTTACTGTGCTGAACTGGTCTTGATAGCAAGATGCATGCTCTTGCTGTGGGGCACTCTACGGCTTTAAATTGACTAGTCAACGAAAAGATGCTGATAGCCCAACAACGAATACCCAAAATATAGTCGACCTTGGCCTAAAGGTGAAGAAAGTCATCTCATGTGCCTATATATATATATATATAGCAGTACTTCTAATAAAAAGGCGATGACTACGAGGTAAATTGGATACATTTTTTAAATGAATCTTTATACTAATTGAGTGCTATGCGAATATAGTTCGGTCTACTTAGATAATCGGCTATTATATGAGGATGCGCATGTACTACGGAACGTTCTAGAATCTCTATTTAGATAAACGACCGCGATTTTTATAGTATATAAACAGTGCACTAATAATAGATTCTAGATGTAGCTAGTGCGGGGCTATTTTTATACAGTATCGATACTTTGCTGTGTTCATTTACAACCAAGTCGTTTCTCTGCTCTCTACAGACAGATTATTTTTTTCTGTTTCTAATTCAGCTATCTGTTTAATTAGCAAGCCCTACTAATTCACGCGTCAGTTACCTAATTTGCTCACTGAGCCATGTGCCTTCCCTCTTTAGTATCGACCTAACCAAGCGTCTTGCTGAATATCAACAACAGCTCATGTCCATTCGACTGATTCCGACCGACCCAGTTCCTTCTATCCACTAAGCAAGTTCGTAGCAAAAAAAAAGGCGCCCAGCAGACAGCCTCTGCCTGTTGCTTTTTCATCTATTTTTACAAACTACTCACCGACTGCTGGCGGTGCAGGGAAAACTATTTTCTGTTTGTGTCGTTCACACGCTTTGACTCAATCAGGGAAACCGCGCGGGCTGCGTATACCCCCCCCCCCCCCCGTTCCCCCGTCTAAATCTGCTCGAATTTCCCGTTCCGCCATCTCTATATAGGCGTTACGAAATTACTTGCTACGATTAGGTTTGAGATGCAGTTTTTATCTGTTTTAGATCGCAACCTAACCCTCTGCTCGAAAGGGGTGATGGCTACTATATTATCGAGAACAGTAGCAAAAAGTACGAGCCTTTAGATTAAGAGCTAATTGAAATTGAAAGGAAATAGCAGATCTAGTTAGGCAGGTATCGATTATATGCATAACTGATACGTGCACCGACCTCGTTACGTTGATTTAGTAGCTGCACTAGCTTTGGTATGGGAGTCGAGAGTGAGAACGTTGTTGGCTGTGTTGGCGTGCACACTGCCGCTGCCGGCGTACAAGCTGTCGTGCGCGATTCGATGCACCCCACAACTCATGCATATGGTAACCTACCATGAATAGATCTCGAAATTTTTTCTTAATCCATCTTCCGGCTCGATGAAAACGGTCTATAGCTTCTTGTAATTTCTTTGTGTCGCCGGAATCGGGATTGGCCTGAAATTCGAAAAGTCAAATTCGAAGGTGCCAGGAGAATTAGATTGCACTATGTGTATTACCTGGCACCCTTACACGTGTCGATTCATATACTCTCACACTTCATAGAAAATAAACCATACGCTCTCTTTAGCATACGAATACAAGTTTCTTTAAGTCTAATGGTTCATCATTGTACGGTATTCAACGTAGTACAAGCATTTTGCTTATGGGTTAGTCCTAGTAGTTTTACTGACGTCAATCGTGCCGGCCGTGATGGTTACGATCAATCGAAAAAACCGCTGATTGATCATTTTATTTTTACGTATCTTATATTCAGTATATTTTTACGGCTATTTGTGTTCATCGCTAGTGGGCTTAGACAGTTTAATTTGGAAGGAACATTCCGAAAACAAAAACTCAATATGATCACTTGAAGAGATCTCTGTCCCTGCGTAACGAATACGGAAAATGCACACATGCACTTATGGCCTAGAATAGTTATTTGTACATTAAAAGTCCGAACAATTTACCACCAGCTTCAGATATCAGTATCGAACCATCATCCCTTACCCACACTCGTTAGGGACAATATGTCACATTGTTGTTAAGTGGCAAAAAAATCCACGTTGTATAATAGGCTACTGTCCATTATTGCCAACGATAGTTATATTGTGGCAGTGGTTGTGATCAGCCTCTAGGTTCCCTAAACTTCTACATTGTCGTCTACACTGACTTTGGCAAAGTTTGTCCGGCGTATGGCAAGACACTACTCTCTCTAGCTATTTCAGTTGTCCACTAGGATCATGTCGGTGATATTTGAATAAAATTTCGCTCAAATATAGTCTACTAATCGACGTTCCAGCTGCCTATCATACTCGACTTTAATAACCAACTGGACCATTGCTTTGACTGGCAATGGATAAAAAATAACAAATCCTTCTGTATATCTTTGCATGAGTATTAAGGCGCATCGACACAGAGGAAAAATCAAGCTGATACGGGAAACATCAGCAAATATTATTCAAAACTGACCCGCTAGGCAGCGCCTACTCTCTACGTATCGTCCGAGCGCATCTTCCGTCGGTTGCCTCGCGTTTACTGCCACTTCCTAGCTCCTTTCGCCCCCATTCGTACAATCTCCTCGCTTCCTCCTGTTTCCGCACCTGCTACTCTATCTTTCTTTTTTTTTTTTACCAATCTGCGCGCTTGCATCCCGCTGTTCTCCGTTAATGTCGATTATCTGAGGGAACAATAAACTAATGCATTATTTTTCCATTTCGGACGCCATTTGTGGAAAGGTCTTCTCCATCCTATGCTCTTGCGATGGCGAGCAGGTGGTTCTCTCCGCTGACAAAATTGACGTTGCTCCCGTCGCCCTCGACGTCGCATTTGCCCCCCGTCGACGGCCGGGTCGCTTTGGCCGAATGATGTGTTATTGTGACATATATCTCGTGTACCTATATTCAAAAACGTCAGTGCAACTATTCCCATAAACAGCAACCTCGAAACGCTGGCCAACAAGAAACATCTTTCTACTTCCACAATGAAGATAAAAGAAAGACATGCTGGTGAAACGAGCTGCCACTCATCATCTTCCATCCTGTCCGTCGTCGATCTTCGCCGGCTTTGTCAACCGAACGAATAGCCACTATGATGGCTCTTAATTGCACATTTTCTAGCAACGCGTATTGTTATTTCTCGATAGATTCTTATTAGCGTTGCTGGGTTGACTGGTTAAGTCGAACGCTGTCCTGTGTAGTGCACGTAAATCTGACCCTGTGATAACTAGCCATTTAATTAGCCAAGTAGTGCCGTAAAATATCGCACAGCGTACAATGAGCCTGTGGTGAAAACGTGGTAAGCAACAAATAAGATGGACGACTGATTACAAACCTGTGAAAGGTTGGAAGCTCCAAACGAAGAGAGCAACAGGGCCAAAAAGAGGTTGAGTACGACCAGGTTGCCAATAACGACGGTGGCGAGAAAGAACGGGATACAGGGCCAGCCCGAGACCCACATACAGTCCCACATCGACTCGATCCACTCGCCGCATAGCACCCGAAAGACAATCATCAACGAGTGCATGAAATCTAAGAAATTCCAGCGCGGCACTTGCTGTTCCGGGAATCTGTAATGAAAATAGAGAGATCAGACGATAAGCAGGATTAAGAAAAGATTATCGAATCATTTGTTAAAAAAGTAATAATCAGATAAGTTTACGACTCATTGAGCCTTTCTTTAATGCCATTGTTATTGATAATCAACGACCTGCTGAAATCGATTGTAGCAACATCAACGGCGACGGCGCGGTAGCCGCTGGGTGCGTTACTCCATACCGCTGTTCTTAGATTCATGTAGTTGGGGTAGTCGCACTAGTACCAAGCTGCGGCAATCATCTAACATCGCCAGCAAGTGTAATAGCACCTGCAGTACCGCTAATGGCGCTCGCGGTAATAGCACGTGTAAGCACGCATCACCAAAAGCGGCGAGAACCCGAGGTAGTATGGGAAGACAGTAGCCGTAGGCCAAGACAGGGGGATTCCAGGGGTCTCTAGGGCAATGGCAGCAGCCGCGGTGCCGGCGGCGGATCGAAATGGAAATTCTGTACACGTAAGTGCGTTCGCTCGCTTATCTCCGTTTGTAAGGCCGTGGCGATGGTGGCTTTCTCCCTCTATCTCTGATCGTTTCTGTTATTCGGACGGTGTCGGTGGCTCACTTAACGTTATGAAAGGGTGTGGTCGAGTCAACTTGCGAGCTGCTTTCTCACCAAAACATAATATTGGGCCTGCCTGCCTGCCTGCCTGTCCCAAGCAAGAAGTTGCTTCAGAGAAAATAGTTGGGGATATCAAGGACAGGTTAAAGAAGAAGTGGATGCAGCTAGCGATCGCCGACCGACCAGAGGACTGACTCCCGGCAACCCCACTAAACCCTGCGAGACCACGAACGAAGTCACTCCGGCGGCCGCGCTCGACCTAGAAGTTGGACCCTATGTGTTCGCGTCTTGTACGGCGGAATGACCATAGCAGTAGCCTTTTTGTTGCGATGCCTGCGGCGGCGGTGGCGGCGCCGCAGACTGTAGTATTATTGTATGAGAACAAACTCCTTCCATACGCTATATGCAGGCTGGCCACATCCCACACCCGCGACCAGCAGCAGCGGAAGCTAACCGCTGTTGTTACCGTGGAGCAAGTTTTGACCTTCGCCTTCGTCGAGTGGGGCCGCATACATCGTACTAGTATCACGAAGAGAGAAGCGAGGTCACAGGGAAGCTGACAGAGAGTGAGAAGCGCTACAATGAGCCAACGAAGGAAAAAGCGTGAAGTGCGATACTCACAAACACTTGTTGTCGAGATAGTTCTTGCCGAAAAGTTGCATGCCCATAACGGCGAAAATGAAGATGATAATTCCCAACACAAAGGTCAGGTTACCCAGAGCTCCTATCGTCTTGCCCATGATAGATATCAGTAGATTCAACGTTGGCCATGACTTGGCTAGTTTGAAGACTCTCAACTGTAACGTACACACGCAGAAACGATTCATAATTTTTACTTATTGCTTTAGTTAATGCGTTTAATGCGCGCGGCAATGTGTCAGAGAGAAATATATATATATATACGTATACAGGGAGAAAGAGAGAGAGGGAGGGAGGGAGGGAGAAAGAGTCTGGGAGATACAGCGACGTAGCAATGGCAAAGACCTAATAATAATGTAGACACTGCCTACAGATCTGTTTAATTTGGCAAATCCCGGTTTATCTGCAGCAGCGGCTTTCACTCAGCCCCGTGTTGTGTTCGAAGAAGTTGCGGCAGCAGCAGCGAAGATGAGCAGTCACAGGATTCAGAATAAGAATCTGGTAACAATGGCGGCTTTGAAGGCGATACTAGTGTGGCCGTACTGCTGCCATTCGTTGACTGTAGTCCGTATGTATAGTCAATGAAGCCATAACGCCGAAGGATCATTCATAGCACGGATTGATCCAGTCCTAGACTTCACGCCTGCGGCTACCACCGCCACCGTTGTGAATTCCTTAGGTCGAACTCGCTGCAGCTTGGCATGAGCCTCGCACCCTACTCCTATTATTGTTTGTCATGCTGCTGATGCAGCAGCGAACACTAGTAAGGAAAAACAGGCACGACATGACTCGATGTTTTGGCAGGCTATTGCCTCTACGAAAAATACAGAATCAAGGAGATGAGACAGCAAAATACGGTAGAAGCTTTGCTGTAGAGAACTCACTGCTTGAGAGCAAAAACAGCGAGCCCCCAGTCTCGCCTGCTGTCGCTGACTGTTTCTACTACTGCTGCTATATGGACGTTGTCATTCTTCTCAATATTTTGTCCCTGAAGAATGTCCATTGCATCGACTCAATCACAAAATTTGACAGTTAAGCTTTCAGTACAGATGAGCATAGACAACTAGTTGACGCACTGGCAGGCCAGCGATCGTAATGAAGATGCGACTAGCATTAGTCAATTGAAAATATACTTTCTCATCTTCGCGTGCGCGGTATCGAGATCTCCAATGCTTAACAAGAACGTAAATCCTTGATCGGTCCGGCTGCTCTCGATATGGCAAGAAGGGTAGCGAAACATGACTTGTTGTCGTGTGTATGCGCTGCATAAGGACACTTTCTCCCTACTGGCCTTAATTGCGATGCTCTCTCTCTCTCTTTTATTTTTTTTCTTACATTCCCTATATCCTGTTTATGTCCTATAAAAGTAGTTCCCCTCTCAACCTGCTACAATCTACTTAGCCTACCATTCTTGTTCTTCGTCAACTCAAGGCGCCAGACTCACACATATGCATTGCGGAACGAATGACGGAACAGATTACGACGAAAGCTTAAAGAGTAACGGAAAACATTGTTCTGAATGTGTAGAGGAGTTTGTGTTAATGCAGAAAAGGGGGCTGAGGATAGATTCAGCACTAAAAACGAAACAGAGGGTGGTGATGGCGGGCGGAAATGACTTTGGCCTAACAATGATGATTGTTATGTTAACTGTCTTCACATATTAACTAACATGTGATACTAGCATTAATGTTACTACTTACAAGTCGAAATGAACGCAACACAGACAATCCTTGTACGCCTTCCAGACCCAACTCGAGTAACGACAATGCAACAATGATAAAATCAAATATATTCCACCCTTCTTTAAAATAATTTTTTGGACTTTTCGCCATAAGCTTCATGGTCGCTTCAATGGCGAAGGTAGCGGTGAAGAACTGAAATTACAAAGTGACAAAGGCAAACTACAATAAGTAACAGGGAAGCTTCAAAGTAGGTACGACGTTTATGATTACTATTAATTGCTGGAGTTAATTTGTTTCTAGCCTTACTGCTTAACACCGATACGTATGTGTCGAAACCGTTGAAAGATGTCGGAATCGCACTGGCCCATTTGGATGATGGCAGCAATAGTACTGAGCCCTATGTTCTGTTTGCATCAGGCCGTGCGATTTGTATGGTCCATTGTACTACTGTGTCAGCTATTCCTCTATCGGATCAGCAAACATGGCACGTGTTTGATATATTCCTGCATGTAAGCTATGGATCGGCTCGAATCGAAGCCAACCCGTGCGAGGCGTACGTGCATACTTGCACGTGTAAATAATGTCAATCTAAACACCATTCTGCTTCTGCTCTTATCTGAATGTTGTCGGAGTGAACGAATTGAGACTGCGCTTCGTAGACAGCAGGTCCATCTTGTCCACATCCATAGCTATTCATATTTGTATCACGTACACTTCAGATACGGCCAGCTTAGCGACGACAAGGGATAAATGAAGCATTGAAGGGAGAGTATTTACTTGTTGTAATGTTAAATAGTGAAATAGCAGATACTGAGACGTTTGTCAGCAAAAAAAAAGAAATTCATCTTAGTTTGTTAACATGACATGGTTGAAGGTGCTGTGTGCCAGGCTACTGAATCCATAACAATTACTTTTACATGAATTATACTATACTACATTTTGACTAGATGATGTACGAAGAAAACACCATTGAACTCACATAGTTTCCTGAGCGGAGAACGTTTTCAAAATCTCGATCCATGTCGTGATGGTCCATGGCCATGAATAGCGTGTTGACGACAATGCACAACGTGATAAACAGTTCCATAAAGGGATCAAATACAATGAGACCGATTATCTCTTGGGCGCGTATCCAGCACCAGCAACAATCCCACACGCAGAAAATGTCGATACATTTCAAACAGCCAGCGAGACACTTTTCCTTCCATTTGGCTTCGACATCTTCTTCCTCGAGAGAGCCTTCGTCTTCGTCATCTGTGGAAAAATAATAGATGGAGACTGTGCGTTAGACGTGCAGTTGGCCCGATCGTTAACATACAACGAACTCTACCTAGTAACGCGATCATGCGTTTAGTTGAGCGGTGAATTGCAGTGCTTTGGTGCGAATTGGCCTCCGCGTGCTCGACCCGCCCGTCCGCCTGCGTGACACGACGAGACAAGCCACCAAAGACCCTATCTAAACCTAAATAGAAAAAACACACCAATGGGACCGAGTTTCCACTGCTTCTGCATTTTTCATACCAAGTCCTTGTTTACCACTTCCTTCTCGTGTAGCTGACCAACTGAATCTTGACCAGATGTTGCCAATCATTGCTTTCTGCTTGAGCGGTTATTGTGGCTATTTCAGCCAATTTGAGACTTCAGAACACGAGTGACGCATGCAGCGTTAGTAATCGCTGGGAGTCATTTTCAATCATATCGTCCAATGACTACATTTACCTGCGGAGCGATCGACTTGTTGACGCAACACCATCTGATCTCGAGTCTCAAATTGAGCCATGACCGTGGCTTAGAAACAGACAGCGGAATTAACGCGCAAGCACGTTGAACTGAAGAAGGGAGTACTCAGTCAGGCGAATATACGTTCATTCTAAGCGCTGTGTACGCCAAATGACTTCGGGACTTGCTCCCTAACGAAAAGTGGCCTAAGCCGCAGGCACACCGTATCACGCCTGCCGGTGGGGCCCGATGCAGCGGCCATTGATAACAACGTCATCAGACCAATCGATTTAACTCGACCCGGGCTCACAACATATCGACACATAACACGTAGCTAGATAAACAGCGTTGGCAGCTCAGCGCTAACAATCCTCTAGAAAAATACAGAACCTCTGTAACCTAACCTTGCAAGACGTCTGATCGTTTCCTCGTCGCCTTACCTATTACTCCTCACATTACTTAGGTAACAATAATACACTGGGTTAGGAAGACTTAGACCACTGAACTGGCATGGACGACGCGGCTGCACGCGGATGCATCGCGGAGCTGACTGGACATACTGTGAAGCGTACTTGATCTATTACGCTCACAAGATCGCTAATGCGATAGTAGAGTTCTTGCTTACTTACCGCGGTGCACGTAACCAGTGAATCTGATTAGCCTTTAATTAATAATTTCCCCTAGTTTTTTTAATGTCGCGGATTTCCACGATGCGAACAAAATCTTCATATTCTGAATACTGATATGGGCTCAATGGACGTTTGTCTAACAGAGAGAAAAAGAAAAGAAGGTTAGCTCTCCGCACCACATTGATCAGATCATCGATGCCGGAGGCACACGTTTTAGTTGGCAAAAGAAACACGAAGGTCATGATTTTAGCCGTCGATAAATTCAACACATCAACAATCATTAACAGTACGACTTAATCTCAATTTCTTTCTCACTGAAGATGCTAACATATGATTCTTCGATGAAGACCTAGTGGCAATTCTATTACGTAACGACAATGGCTACTGACAAATACCGACTAATGGATGCTAGCTATCCCTCGGGAAAATCAGACGGAATAGTGATGGCTAGATAGACGATCGTCAAGCAACACCCAACCATCCTTTTTAGATATTGGAAGACTCGTCGCGTGACACGTACGTATGATCGCAAAGGACCGCATGATTCAGGGAGATCAAGTTCCGCAAAGGTACATATTTCTCGAGCAAAAATAGAGCATCACTGATTTAGGATTCTACTGATGATTGATCTGACCATCAATTTGGTTTTATTTGCTTCGAAGTGTATTGTCGAACGGTACAGGGCCTAGAAAGATGTGATCGGCACGATTTTTATGGCTACAACAAATTGCCGTACGACAATTGATCAGAGAGTATTAGAAATTCGATAAATACGCTCAGAGGCGCCTACTGAAAGTTTCGCCGTAGCATAGGCTTGTGATTGGCCAGATGACTAAAATCGAATGAAGATCGGCTGATTCATATTTACCGCTGAACGAAGGTGAAACTCTGTAAAGTGATCCGTTGTTGTCTCACGCGATCTAGTCCCAATCGAAAGCAAAAGCAAATAAGCATTAAGCCACACTGCAAATCAGTGAAACTTGTGGTTTGTTGTTTGTTGGTGATTCTGTGACTACTTCTACGGTTATGAATTGTATAAGGGCGGACGTTGTGGGTTTTGAACGCTCTCCAGTAATTACTCATGCAGAAAAGCAGCAAGGGCAGTAAGCAGAGGCATTTCGGGGTCCGGCCGGTCTTTTTCTAATCGCTCAGATTTTGGACTACATTGACATAATGCGTTGCTATGGTGTCGGTCTAGCTTAATTTAGAAGGAGATATTTGCATGATATTATGGATAATGAAATTACATTAGTATTTGAGTAGTTCCTGTTGGTTAGTTCGCGTTCCCTATCAAGGGGTTGTGTAGCGGTATCCATCACCGTGGCGTTCCCTACTCTGTCAAAATCCTCTATCGAGGCAGGAAATGCCCATTTACGTGACACTGCGCAACCCCTACGTAACCGAAGATTAAAATGTGAATGTGTACCTATGTGTGCTTGTGTGTGTGTGTGTGTGTGTGTGTGTGTGTGTGTGTTTGACTGTGTGTGTGTGTGTGTGAGTGTGTGTGTGTGTGTGTGTCTGTGTGTGGTTCGTGGTTCGTTTCCTATTAACTATGCCAAATGGTGCAAATCTGGTGCAAGCTTGCGACGCAACCAAAGAATAGAGTCTCGTCCGGCTTCAAAGTTAATCAGCTTCATTCCCCTAAGGCCCGTACAGCAGTATCCACTTAAAGAGCTGACGCCAGCAGCCTAGGTCAGGCTAGACGAGCACTAGTGAACGAAGCAACCCGGACCTCGTATGGCAATATAGCTATATATTGCCACTATGGAAACGCTTTTTGATAGGGATTAAGGCTTTGACCGAAGAATCTAACTGAAATGTGTTCTGCAAATAACGTTTTTCGCTATCTGAACAAGAACTATTGTGCTTGCTCCGTTTCTGACTGAGCTTGTCTCAAGCATTGGGCAAAGTAAAATAGGACCGTTTCGTGACCCTTATCTGGTGATGGCGATATCAACAGTTCCACAGCGAAATCTAGCCGTTTTGGGGATCTTCATTTGAATAACCAACAGAAGTTTAGAGGACATCTTTTGACTGAATGGTAATGGCCTTACACGCACTATCCGTGTTATTGTTATCGTTATTATTCTAATTTTGCAAACGCTCAATTGAGCTGAATGTGGCCGATTCGGAGCGATCTGGACGTCGACGTGTTACGGCTGGACGTAAGTTGTAACGTGTTGATATATAGGGATGCTAGCTCTTATTCGGCAGCGCATCTTAGTCTTTCTATGGAGACAGAAAAGGGTCCGGCAGGGTGTTTATCTGCAACAGTTGTGACTTCGTCAACACGGCAGGAGACGACCTTGGGGCACGCCCAAGTGCAGATTTACATATGTCAAAAGTCTAGAGAATGAACACGAGAGCTTAATGTAGCTCTACCTGCCTTTTGCTTTCTTTCGCAAGTTGTAGTAACGAGTACTTAAGTACGCCGCTGTGACACTGACTAATCTTAATTATTACTCGTCATTTTTCTCATTTAGTACTTTCCGTAATGCAATTAAATTAATCGTATACAAAAGGTCATATCTAGACCTCTAATGCCACCGTGTTGGTGCGATGTGAACACTGCTATTACTGCTGTTGCTGTTTCGTTGAAGTTTAGATACGATGTTCGTGAGGAATGGGCAGTTCTACCGAATAAATGGTAACCAGGGATTATTAATACAGGCACACTCACAAGTGCCACTTTGTGAAGGACCATAATTATGGCGCGGTAGATCGGTGGCTTTGGAGGCCAGTGCATACGAGGACCGCAAATCTTTGGACAACGGATAGTCTTAGCGGTTTTGACGAGTGGACGGAGGGCGTATCACGCGTAACATCGCTTGCTCCATTTAAACGATAGTACTAGTAAGCAACTGACTGAGAGCATGCGTGGAACCATGGTTGTCTCGTGGGAAGTGAAAGCGGACGGCGATAGAGGGGCACAGGGGACAGGTCAACGATGCCACGGCCGTCGGTTAGACATGCGGCGAACACGCTGCCCCTTTTATTCCACCACTGTCGGCTTTACAGAATCGAGCAGAAATAACGGAAAAACAATGACGGTTGCAGAAGACGGTACCGAGAAACGGGCAGCCAGTGGGGAGCACGCACAATCTTATATTATGTAGTCGTGGCGATCCCTTTGCCGATTCCGTTGGTGGTAGCGAAGAAACTAATTAGAAATTACAGTTTTCTTAACTGAACCAATAAACTAATTCAGATCAAAGGATTTCGGTCCAGTCGACACGGTTTAAACAGTTCAATCGTTATAGGTGAGGTGTGGCGTCGCGCTGTTGCTCCGGCGATTAAACGAAGACGATTGCGAGGTAACAAGAAGACGAGCAGAACGCCTACGACAACGGCCCGCCGCGCGGAAGACTGTAAAGAATCAGTTGCTCTAATTGAATACAGAAGTTTTGAACGCATAGATAGTGAAGGGCATGTCGCTCTTTTTTAAACGGAGCTTTAGCTAAATTCAGCCGCTGAGTTAAGGGGAATAGTTAGTCGCCGTTCGTCGTGTCTTCGAACGATTGTTTTTAAACGTGACAACAGATACCGGTGAGTCGTTATTCAGCATCGATCGCGTATATCCGGTAACAGCAATCGTCTACGTTTCACGCCTCTGCAATATGCATAGCAACGCATTGACCCTCAGCAACTCTCTTGGCCAATGGGTAACACCTATGCAAGTCTTCACTTGAACCCCCAATCGACTCGGACATTTGCTTCAACCAGCGCAGATCCAGCGCATCTTAAACGAATGGAAACGCTTTTTTTTGCGGTATATATGGGCGCACACCGTGTCTAACAGACCGCATCGTGCATGCACGTTTGTGTCGTATATATGTATATATACGCTACAACGTTGTAATATCATACCAATCACAATCGAATAAAATATCCAGAAGCGTGTGTATGGGCGACTGTGTTAATGGTGACAGTGGTCTCTCTCTCTCTCGCTCGTTTTTTTTTCTTTCCTTAACTAAAAATGACTGAATTAAGCATGAATCAAAAAAGGAAATTCGTCTATGCATAATCTCCACCGGTGTCGCTATTTACTATTTCGTAGCAGAAATCGTAGTACCCATTACGCAGCCATTCCGTAGTATCAATCGTCAATTCAATCGCTTAGTTAGCATTATCGTCGTTACACCGGTCAATATTGAGTACCTTACCTCTCGCTTGCACCCTATTTCTGCAACTACGGCAGCGTTCTAATGGCTAATCATTGCCGCATTGACCTCATCAGCATCGCCATAGTTACTCGTGACCAGCTTCATCAACTTACCGCACACGACTCGATTCATGGTGATAACCACAATAGCATCAACAAATGTTGAATAAATTGTTACTAATCTTAAGTTTATTTTTCTAAACTAGCCATTACGCCCTAGTCGATCTAGGTCGACATAATGCGCGAGCCGTGTGCAGCTTTGTCGACGATTTTATTGAAATGACTAGGAAAAAAAGAAAAAAAATCAATAGCTAATACAAGAAAACAGTGGCGATATTAATAGTCGTGGCATAATGATGGCACGATGGGGAAACAATAGCTATAATAACATTAACAACTGCCAATATCATCCGCTGTACCCAGTCCGGTCAATTCAGTCCAGGTCAAAAGGCTTATGCATAACGCAACGGGGAGAGAATGAGGGGATCACCGCTACAACCTAGGCATGTCGCGCTCACTATACTACTTCAGGCTAAATACCTCTCTCGCTGGCCTTGCTTTGGCGGCCAGCTGCCTGCTCGATGATATCGTTGAGGACCATCACGTCTGAAATACAAGCAGCAGAACGAAAATATGTATGCATGCATATACACAGCGTAACGAAGAAGATGGAACCCCACGTCGAAATGCACGCAGATATAATGGACGGCAATGAGGACCGAGTTAACAGCCATCCCAGCAACGGCCACGATAATCGAGCGAAACAATGGAAGACAAGGACAAAAAATGAAATGTATAAATCACTTGGTTAGATATGTCGATCGAAAACCTATCGCTATCGCGGCGATGAGTACAAGTGTGCTTCTACTATTGGCATTATTTCTATTTCCAGTTTGCTTTGAACCATTTCTTAATAACAATGTAAAAATAACGCAGTGATAAGCGGTCTGCTTGCTTCAAAATTTAGGGTCGCTTAGGTTGAAAACCGGGCGTACACGCATCTTCCTCCGCGAGGGACCAGACGCCCCAAGCTATATTTAACAACAGCGTCGGATGTAGATGCTCAAAGTTTTTCATAGTACTAACTGTCAGCATTGTTATTATTAACTGAATCTGGCGGCAGCAGCACCACCACCGGCAGATGGCCAGATTTAGTTAGTCATTTTTGGCCTGTATTTTGTGCTGTCAGAAAGGTCAATGAGTTGATACCCACACAGCTGATGTGCTGACAAGGAGAAATAAAGGACGAGAAATACAAGGTTCCAAAGGTTTGGGAAAGGCGGCAAGAGTAGAGCCTGCACTGTTCGAGGCTCTGGGAATACTACAGAGAGGCAGTCGGCAAGGTAGAAATGTACCTGACTTTAACCGCCGGTCAAATAAAGTTACAGACTGGCTAAGACGCGCTCCATCTCTATGAAATGGAAGCAGTGCAGGCGATAATGATAACAGAATGTGGGGTGGCTTTTGTTGAATACAAGTTTTAATTTGTGAGTGCGCCACTATCTCTTGCCACCACAAAATGGCACGTATGACGAGAAGCTCGTTTTACCGAGAGCGATTTACGAAGTCCACACAGGTATGTTGGCACGATTTAAGAAAATAGCCTCGTCCGATAGGAATCGACCGATGGCGTATTCATTTCTACAACTATTTTTTAGCTAGGAAATCTGCTTGCGTACATAGGTCGTGCGTACGGCTCGCTCACGGCGTACTACACGTTTTCGACTTGGCGAGCATGACTATGCCATGAAAAAGTAATAAGCAACACGCCTCAAAAGCGTGTGATCTACAGACCTCGTCGAGACGACTAGTTATATACAAAGATCACTTACCTCTCATATCGACCATAGGATGCCGAGTCGACGGCTCCATATATGGTTTGTTAACCTGTTTAATTTTAGATAGAATGTAGTCTTCAGAATCCAGCCGCGTCTCCTATAAAAAATATTGATAGACAAACATAGCGATAATACCATTGTCCCAGTAGATTACTAAGTAAATACTAAGATATTACTATTACTATTAGTTTAATAATGTCGTAAAGCTATTATATTATTTGTACGTTTCTATACGGTTAAGTAATGGTAATGCACTATAAGCTCGTACAAAAACAATTGGAAAACAGCCAAAAAAAAAACACAAACTGCCAAGTGATACAAAGCACTTGATGAGACTATATGAGCAGGCACTTTAACTCAGGACAAGATTTCAAAAAAACATCTATATAATCTTCACATTAAGCCTAAAAAATACAAAGTACACATAGTGAAGCGTGAAAGTATGTACTGGCTACTTATTTTACCTGATCATAGAAGTAATTCTGTAGATTGCGTGATCTCGATCTCAACTGCGACTCCTTCGTTAAGCAGTAGACTTCCCCGTGCGAGGTGTACGACAATCGCGACGAATGTGATGTGTAGCTGCTTCTGCGAGAGTGCTGCAAATTGGAGTAGAGAGGAATAATGATGGCCCCGTTGTCTTCCGACATTGGGGTGACCGCGGCCGAGTCGTCGGCGAACGGGAGGTGTTCCTGAGCGTCTACGTATGTCTGCAGTAGTAATGGTTTTGCCCCTCCATAGCAGGGCTGTCCACCGCCACCCCCTGGACGGCGACCAGCGGCACCTCCACCACCGTTCGCTGGATGACCGCTAGGTCGCCATTGGCCACTTGAACGCGAGCCCCGCCGGATATTGAATGGTGAACCAGGCAGAGACAAACTCGCCTGTTACGAAGTAGCACATGACAATTGCACCAGTCCGTGGTTAGACAGATATCAGACCACCGTTGCAATACAATGATGTAAAAATTACATGCAGAAGTAACGACTTTTAATTACGCTGTTTACGCGGTTGAACCGACAGAGGTAGGCTATGACATTTACTCTATTTGGTGGCTTTTCAAAGTGTCTTCAAAGACGGACGACATTCCTACACACACACATATACATATATTTAATTTATTGCGAATATTACGATATTTGCCCTTCCTTAATTTACCAAAATTGAAGTCATTCATTGAATTAGATACATTGATAGGATCCTTAGGCATGTAGGAAGCTTTAATTCTTAAATCAATCTTCCACAGTCAGTCTGCTAAGCTTCTCCGGCAGAGACCTTGCACGTTTCTGCGCAAGGCCTGTACCTAATGATTTGCTTTTCTTCTTACTGATTCTCGTTGTTGTCTCTAAGTAATACAGCTAGAGCTAACTTTTTCAAATGTGTTTCGTTGTTGATCGTTTTTTTGGGATTATTTGAGGTTGGTTGTCTTTGGGGGGTTATCCATCGGGTTGGCGGTGTATGCCTAGAGTACAGTCCAATACGGTAGCAATTTTGTCGATATTGATTTACGTCTTGTCTTCGTTAAGTTAAACCCATCAGAAAGCGGTAGACGTATAAACTGCTAGAAAACTGACGATGATGGCAGTGATCGTTTAGTTGTTATTATTAACCGGTCGCTAGCGAAGGCTAGCAGCATTGACGGCAACGAGCCAGTCTATTGGTTCGCCCCTGAAGCTGCCCCTTTCCATATCGAACAGTAGCTGGTACCAGCAGCCGCTAACAGAGCGAAGCGAAAGTACCAGCTGCGAAAGCCCTGGATGGCTGCGCCATTTTGCCCAATAAATGGATGGCAGGAGAGCCGTCTTCTCCTCATACGAATGTACTTGTTCTCCGACCACCGTAGAGGATCAACGTAGGCTGCAGGCACTAGGGTGGACTCAGTTAAGCTTGTGGCAAACTCTATGTTTGTATTTTATAATTTTTAGTACTGTGGTCGTCGCCGGCGCCGATGAAGTAAAAGGTTCGTGGGGTTTGGTGATATAGAGTCGAAATCACTCGTGAAGGACCGCCAGCAAACGTAGGAAAGGAAGCGAAGTAACACTTGCCGATTCGTAAAGCAGCGCGCAAGAGCAGCGCCAGCCCGATAGACGCGGCAGCGGCGACTAGAATCTGAACTCAAACTGAATTGTAGCGGCAGCAGTGGGGGCCGTATGGAGAGTGGTGAGGGGAGTGGACGCTGGCATGTGACCGCCTGCCTACGTACTGGCCTGTGTGCGCCTATGTCGCATACGTTTACCCGTCTCAACTATATCGTGTGTACTTGCGTGGATGCGAAAGCACAGCTTGCCTCCACCTGTATTGTATTTAGAACCTGAGTTCCACGACGACCGTGCCCTACCCCACCGCCCTCATCCTTTAAAACGGGGCATGCTGGGGCTTTGTCCTAGTTCGCCTAGTCAGCGGTTCACTCCATTCAAAAGCAAACGTTTCGTGCTGTGTTGTTCCGTTGCTACTATAGTTGCAACATAGTCCGTAGCTGGCAGATACGCGCGGTCCAAGCGACAATACTCAGTGACCAAGCGGTGAACTGAAGTGGGAGAACGGCGCCGACAAATCGACGCGCTGAAATGAGAGCAGTTTAATAACTAACTGCCCATACACGCTATCTAACGTCTATAAATAGAAAGCAGTTATTTTTACTCTCTTTTTAGATCACATCTCTCTGCACCCAGCTCCTTTTAACGCCATGTATATGCACGTACTATGCTGTGTGCGTGAACGATATCTTCCGTACAGAACTAGTACAAGTGTGGATAAACAATAAGAACTACTCAAAGTCCTTAAGACGATGCGAGAAGTTTGCTATATTAGCCGAGCGCTTTCCTTTCGTCCACGTCGTCGGAAGAACGGTCGAAGACGAATTTTACGTAGATATTTGTCACCTCAGGGATACTACGCTCCATAGAGGTCTTGCCAACGTGTGTATATTTTCTACTTGTACACTTGGTACTTTTTCTTTCAGTATTGTTTATAGATAAACTTTAACTATGGATCCGAAGGGAAGATCGATAGCAATTTGCATTGCTCTTCGCCCAGTTCTCATAAACAATCATTCTCTTTAATGAATAGGCTACATCTCTTTGTTGGCTTCGTTGGAAGCCATGGTCCAAAAAAAATAGCACTTTCTTTAGTTTTAAGTAGAACAAAATGAGATGATGTTGGATGCCGGCAGGTGAAAGACAACGGGTAAAAACTCTCTAATGGTAGATGCCAAGGGGCGCTAAGCCCTCGCTTTTTTTTTCTTTTTTAAGAGATTCGCCCGCTTTAAGAGATTCGAAAGTTTTTTTGATTTGAATGACTACTTTTGTGGTACGACACTCAGCATCGCTGAGCATGGCTGTAAGTAAGTATTTGTTAAAATATCTTATTTTGCAAAAATAGTAGAATACAAGGTAGCATTGAAATCAGAGTCTTTCATCGCGACGACCGTAACCAATCGGTCCATTTATCGATGATTATAGACATACAAACAGACATCAGATTAAGCTACCATACCGGTGACGATGTCTTCAATTCAAGATACAGATACGTTTTAGCCTTATTCAGTGTCTTACAATCTTGCTATAATATCAAATATGTGCTTTGATCATCTCTGTGTCGTTAGGCAAAATCTATAGTATACACCAATGAATTGTCAGTTTTCTTGTCATCTGAATACGCTCGCCTATTTATTGGGCGATTATTTATTATTACTCGCGCATTTTGTTATTGAAGGCTCATCACCTTCTATGGTCGCATGATCATCCCCTATGCCGCTCCTGTTGCTGATAGTAAACGACACTGTGAAATCTGTTATCATCGGACGCACTTGGCCGACATGGTTTTTTTAAGCTCCTCAATGCGGCTGTTAAGCTAACTAACCGAGGCGGGATGATGCCTCGTTTGGCTGCTCATCCCCCAATCGCTTCTGCTTCGCTATAAGAAAACACCACCGCTGACCGCTAAAACAGAACGGGCGAGACGAAACAGGACTCGTTTCGCAAAAGGTTTTCTTTTCGACTCGGCCTTGTAGCAATGGCATTGATGGTGGTCAACAGTACCGGCGGTGGAGGTACTGATTTTAAGAACGCAGCGCCAGCAGCAGCGTTACAGGTCCCGGCCAAATTGTGGCTCATCAAAACGGAAATCGACCGGTGCGCCAGGAGCCCGGGCTCGCAAGCTTCGCTTCACTCGAATCGGAAATGAAAGGAATTGGCCAACGTCACTTCCGGTGACGCCCCTCTCTGGTAATTCCTATGATCAGACCGAAGAAACTACCGCTTTCACAAAGGAAAGGCGTTTCAAAGGGGACCTGCGCTACTAGATTCGGGACTAACTTTGTGGACAGAAGGAGAGTGTTGGTACAACTCTTGGAATTAACAAGTTAGGGAGATTGCTACCGCAGCCCGAAAGTTGTTTGCTGCTGCTATAGTGGAACTGGTCGTTTTGTCGGTTCCCTTTATCTGAGCTCCGTTGGCTCCAGTTGTGGTTCCGTGCTCGCCGACGCCACGAAATATTCTGCGGTCAGCATCAGCAGCGGACAGCTTACGCTTCTGCCTGTTGCCTGGATCGCTTGCAAGCGACCAGCTAGGCGGATCAACCGATATGAACTGACCGGATAGAGCCTTCGGTCTTCATCTAGTTCTGCTGCAAGCAACCTAGTCTGGAACATATATTTTGTAAATAATAAGCGAATTTCTTGTGCAGGAGAGGCACACCGAGCACGAAGGACTGCTTCGATATTGTTGACAACAACAACAGCAGTTTTATCCGTAACACATCGCTGTAATACCGACGTAGCAGCCACAGAAGCTCCATACTGCATTTTCTGTCATCTGCGCTGCCATTGGCGTTTTCTGCGTGGAACTTTTTAGGTTTCAAGTCAGTGAGCTAGCCAACCAAATTGTCCAATGGATAACTTTTGAGCGAGCGTACGAAGAAAAGGGGTTGTGTATAGGAGTAGCATTGGACTAAGCTGGACCTTCTCAAGGAAAAGGTGCTTTTGGGTGGTGAGCGGAGAGTTCGAGTGTTGTACGGTGAACGATTTATCGAACGACAAACGAACAAAGGCGCCAGTGCAGACTTCGCCGCCGGCCGCTGTTACAGCCATCGAAACCTTATGCTTACCACATGCTACCGCTTCAAGTCGGGGTTGTAATAGGAAGAGTTGTAGTACTACCAGTAGTAGAAGGAACAACGATGGCACCGCCGTTGGCGTTGATAGAAACATCCTTTGCAGTAGTAGCAAGAAGCGTTATGCGTGGCGTGACAACAGGCAGATGAGAAGGTTCTAGCTAGAGACGCTCTAGTGAGAACCTTGTTCCTGCTGCGTGTCGAACCTTTGTCTGCTCCAGTCGGCTATTAAGCTCCAAACAACCCGGTCTAGTTCGACACCTTGTTCTTCTCTATTCACCGTCTCCTTTTTCTCTCTTGGAGTGTAAGTCATTGGCAATGCACGATCGGTGATTCTTGGCTCTTCGCTTGAAAATTCCGTGGTGGTAACGCAGAAGCCACCGCATGACGCGAACTAGCGCAGTTGAAGTGACCAATTGGCCGTCGGCCTGTCCACCGTGTCGTTTCTGTCTAAGGCCCTTTTTGTTCGTCTCCTGCCACTTTCACCCCAGAAGCTCCTCCCCTTTACCCGTGTCCCCTCCTCCAAGCTGATAGCCCTTTGGGATAGGCCAAAGCAGAACTCTACATTTGCTTGACTGGTGAACGCGCCGGTTGCCAATGGCAGAAATAGTAGCGACGGCCGTAACAGAAGCTTTGAATAGGGGTGCCTGCGAGCACGATGCGGTTTCAAAAGGTCGTCCCCAATGGCTGTCAGTGGTAGTAGCTGAGGCGGTGTCCTCGGCAATGCATTGTAAATGAGGATCATGGCTGACTGCCGACCCCAACCCGCGCAGCCCCATGCTCAGGTATCAGCTAGCGTTAGGTTAGCATTGAGGCCGCAAGGGATCGTAACATTACTTGCACGGAACATAGGAGCAAAGGCAGGAGGGAAGGCAACGTGGCTTTATGTGTACTGGAGCGGCCCCAGTCAAGGCTTCACTTCTTGCCTCCCTACTCCTTCACAGAAGCCACGGCTGCTGCTGCTACTAACGTTGGCTGTCGAATTGGAACGGAGCGGCCGGTCGGCTTCGATGCCTGCTATTGCTGCTAAGCCGTGTTATGTTTTCCTGCTTGTCTGCCAACCAGTCAGCAAGCGAGCCATTATGTTGTCTTGCCTGAGGTGCTACCTCTGCGCAGGTAGGCAGGAAGCCAGTCAACTGGCCTCAAATAGGTAGGTCAGCGAGTAGAGCGTAATGCAGCAAACCACTCTAAATAACAGCAGCCATGTTCAGAGCACGCCAGCGCCATAGCGCTTGCATGTTCATAGCAGTGACAGCAGCTCGGCTGGCGTATAAAGCCGGAACAAGAAAAGGAAAGGGGAGAGAAAAACGGTGGGCGGCAAGGGGCTGAATAAAAGACAAAAAGGAGAATCATTGAAAGGGAGGTCCTGGCTATTGCTAGCGGTTTCTTAGTCTGTGTTCAGTAGATTGGTCGTGGTTATCCCTTGCGATCAGCGATTGGCGTCTCCCTCTGTCTCTTTCGGCCTTCGCTCCAATGAGCCTAGGTCCTCTTGCTCGCCCCAACTCAGGTTGCCCCGTTTTGGTCGCGACTTACTAAACCTACACCCAGTTTAGCTCGTAATGTAAGTTTGTCAGATAAAACGCGCCGAATCCGATTACCGGCAGCGCCATGATTGCTAGTAGACCAGTCACATACAACAGCTTTTATAATCTGCCTGAGGCGCGCCACCACAGTACACCGGCGGCCCTGGGGCAGCCCATCCAACAGAGCAGTCCTTTCCAGCTACCGTTGCCGCTACGCACGATGCCCCACACAGCTGATACGATGATACAAGCTGTTCGAAGCATTGTGTGGTCAACGCTCGTAATTGTGTGGCCGATGCTGAAAGAAGTACGCGGCCAGCAAAGAGATTTATTTGATGCGGTCAGCCCATGTGTAAAAACTATATATAACAAAAGCATCTGATTCATCCAGGCCAGTTGATCAACGTACGGGGGCGTGACGATAGCAGAAAACAACGCATACGTAAACGAACCATACATTTTATCAGAAAATAAAAAGAAGGAGGATGCTTACGTGCTGTCACATGGTTAACCACTTTTCGATTATTTATTAATTTCTCTTAATTAACAGGTCAATTCAGGTTGTTATATTGACTCGTGGCGATACAAGCAGACTTGCAACGCCCCATAAACGTGCCTACGGTAGCAACGTATATCGAACTATGGTGAATGCATCTTGTATTGTATAGGTCATTAGGTATATCTATTTTCTGTCTTCCCGTTTCGGCCATATTGCGTTTATATCAGTCACCCGTCAGATGGGCACGTATGCCTTCGATAAATTTCTTCGGCGCCGATGTTTAGGGTCAACGCGACGTTCTTCACACGTCTAGAGTGATCTTTAAGGCCTAATTCAAATTACTGAAATTAGTTGATGCATACCACATATAATAGTTGAATGCTACTAGTCAGTAGATACACTGCACCTTGAACGACTGGTCAATGTAAGCTATGTCCAGTGGACGCTTTTGAGTTCGAGTGGAATCTTTCACTATGACCACACGACTGACGATGATATGATCACGACTATCGTTTGACTCTTCTTTCTTCTAGGCCACAGCAGCCATATATCACACCGTTTAGTTGACACCTGATCAGCGACTCTAGTACGTTTCCATTAATTTTTTTTGCGATATAATTCAAATCTTGGTCGGCCTTTCCGTTCAGAATAGTTAAGCGCTCGTGCAGTGTCCGTTCAGCCGACGCGTCAGATTTTGTCTTTCGATAACATCATTAACGGCAGCATACTTATATAATGTTGCTTTAATCATAGTGGGGTGTAGGCGTGCAAAAATCTAGAACATGGCCGCAACCGTCATATAAAAATAATTATGGCAAAATTGCTTTTACCCGAAAATATTGTGTCTGTATTGCGGCTGTGCAAGGTCCTGCCGCACTGCTGAAACGGGCGCCCGCCTAGAAACAGGTACATATATAGGGCAAACTCGACAGTCAAGTATGAACAGTTAGTACAATACGATAATGGTGCATGTAGGTACAATACGACGACTGTTAGTTCCTGACATTGTTAACATTTATATTGCGCGGTAAACAGCGAGCGTTTGTTGAGCTCATTTGCATGCAGGCAGCATTGTCATGCCCATACAAAACGATATATAATACAGGACTGTCATGCATGACGGTATACGGAATACTGTAGATTTAGTAAGATGCAATTATTAATTAGGGATGTTTGTAATTTGTGTAGCAGTTCTGCTCATGTGAGTGGCTGTAACTCGTTCCCTAACGCATCTATTGCATAATCACCTTAAGAGCTAAAAAATCCTACTTTTTTGTACAGGCAGTATATTTGTTACAGTTACTAGGCTCAAAGCTGGCTTTTGTGAGGGTCCAAATCATTGGATGGCGTGGATACGTTCAGTATCAAACTCAACGGTCTGTTACAGTCGTTTTTCTAACATCTGCAATGCGCAACAGCTGTACACGAGTAAATGGTATACGTGAAGGCTCGAGAGGTCTCACGTACCAACTGTGAACGCTTCGACCTTACGAATGCAGGTACCGCACGGATAATCGAGCGTGCATCCGTGCGCGTATGTTATTTATAAGTGACCATATTGAAGATTGATAGATAGATGGATATGTTTACGGGAAGTATCGATAGTGTACTTCCAGACAATCGTTCTTAGTTGGGCTATAGCTTTCGTCACGTCACCGTCTGATGGCGGACAGGCCTTTCCAGTGCTAGCTACTTGTAACACTAATGAAATATTAACTAACCTTGCGAACCTTTCCGTTGTTATGCCGACTTTGTGAATAGAGTTGTTGCTGTTGTTGTGAATGTGGACCGCCGTGTCCGGTGTGCTGTAGTAGATCAGCACCGTCGATGCTTCGAAGGCTGGCCCTCTCGTCCGGCGGTACGCTGGGGTGCCCGGTGCCGGCGTCCAGCGAACGCATCGAATATTCCGAAGGACTCTTGGCCAGCTGTCCTCCGTGATTCGCCTGGTTGGGTACCTGATTAACACCCTTTTTGCCAGCACCTCCACCAGCAGCAGCTGTAGCTGCTTGCATCTCTCTGGCCAGCGCCGCATCACGCTCGTCCTTCCGAACTTCACGCGCCTCCCGTTTAGCCTCCGCTACACGGTTAGCGGCCTCCGCTCGAGCTTCTTCACGAGCTTCTTCCTCCTAGATGGCGATCAGTCACAAACGTCATAGCTAATATTTGAACTGTGGTTCTGCTGCCCATTCTTACTCGTCATATAATTCCATATTACGCACACGTTTGCTCAACAAACATTTTTTTTTACTAACTAAACTAGTGGAAGGGTGAGGTCAGCTGTTTCGTGCATAAAATGTACAGCATACTTGCATGTACATTTGATTCTAACTATCGAATTGGCAATTTTTATAACATTACTTTAAATTAAAAAGAAAAATCTGCTGTCATGAACATCTGGCAGTGTTGTGAGGAAGGATCTGCACAGATCGTTTGTAGGTGATACCGAAAGTACCATAAGAAACAAGTGTTTCTTTTTTTTTTCGACCTTATTACCAATTGTAGTAAATCTCTGTGCCTTTCAGTCGTTCCATTGGATCTGCCCAGGCGCCTGGGTCGATTTCGATTTTCGTTTTACTAAATTCAGTTGCTCTAAGTAAGACACACTTCATGCAGTTTGATTTTCATACGAATTGTCCAGTTTAATTGAAGAAAACTGTTTGATTTCCCTCGTTGAACGAGTCAATTGCGTGGAACGTTTTGGGAGCGCAGTGGCGACAGGTTGAGAACAGGGAGCTAGTGTGGCTAGAATTCGATGCAAACTAATAGTTAAGGCAGGAATATGGTAGCTTCCCAGCGGCGATTTGTGCCTCTTTGAAGGCATAGCCGTTCCTTCAAAAGCCTAATAATATTAATTTTTTGTTTTCCTGCTGCTTTAAGTGTTAGCAGGGTACATGACAATATTTGAGAGAGAGAGACCTTCATGTGTTACTAACGCTAGCCAATGACTAAACAGAAGCTCCTCTTTCTCTACGAGGGAGTTCCGATTTTCAGGCCCTAATATGATCAATCAAAAACAAGATACCACCTATTTAATTTACAAAAGGCTCTATTAATGACACATCGCGTACTCTGATTAAACCATATTTTGACGCACTTTTTAGCGAAAACCTACTGTCGAAACTGTCCGCAGGAAATAGTACTTACCAATCGCATAGCCTCTTCCAATAGGCGATCCTCTTCGGCTTCTTCTTCGGCGCGCTTCTGCAAGTCGTCATATGACATTGCGACAATGGCGAGAATCAGATTGACGAGATAGAATGATCCGAGAAAGATAATGACGACAAAGAAACACATGTGCCACGGCCCCGCAGACCGAAGTATCATCTGGTAGAGAGACTCCCAGTAGTCTTGGGTCATTAGGCGGAAAGCCGATAGAAAGGCCCAGCCGAAGGTGTCGAAGTTGGTGAAGCCATAATTGGGGTTTTCTCCTATCCCTTGCATGCAGATGTAGTCAGCGGAACATTGTCTAAAAGAGAAGACACCAAACGACTCGAATTTAGTCAGATTATTGAGCGATCCAAAAAAGAAATAACGAAAAATCATCACTTACAAAGGAGTTCATTTTCAGTTGTTCCAGCATAACGTGCCTCATTTGTTCTGTGACACTGGCCTTATTTCCTGGCCAGCTGAAGGCCTTTGCTTAGGCCTGTTATCTGCAGGCGGTAGCGTTAGTGAATGAGCATTGCATTCCTTAACCCGATCAATATGTTCATCAATCGTTTGCAAAATTTGTCGTTTTAGAAATTTTTCTTGCCGTTCAACGGAAATGGTTTAGTTAGTCGTTACTCGAAAAGGTTCAACAACCAGCGTTATTTAAATCGTTCGATTTTATCTAGTTTGATTCCTGTGCAAGGACGGATCTAAACACTAGGAACCGCACAATATCGGCAGCACAAAGTTTAAGAAAGGCTTCGTACTATTACACGAAATCGTAGAGCTCGAAAGCGAAAATACAAGCCGATGAAAACGATAGCTAATATCAATAGAAACAACAGTCTTGTGCGGAACGAAACGCTAATATTGTACCTACAATGCTTGTAAACAATGGAAGCTATACGGCCGTTTCAATACCTCTCGTTAAGGTCAAAGGTCGTTCAGACTCTCGCTGAAGGTCAGACGAATCTGAGCATCTTTTTATCAGACACGTCTGAAACTAGAGGCATTTTCTACGTGATCTAAAATGGGCCTTCCTTGAATACGTATGTACTAAATTCATTATCCTTTGCTTGGATCTATACAAGTAATATTATTTTTGTTCATTTGAAATAGGGTGATGGGTTCAGCTTTGTTTGTGTACGGATAGAAAAGCCTGTTACGACAACGCGTTTCGCCGCTGTGGTTTAAGAGCCGTCCTCACTCAGTTTGAACCTGTCCTAGGCTATTGAAAAGGTAAGAGAAAAGAGATAATTATCGATGTAAATAACCTAATATACTAGGATGAAGCCACTATTCATAGATAAGTCATAGTTAAACTAACTGTTATGATTAATATTTAACAGTGAAGGTTGAGAAGGTTCGGCGTAAAGGTTCTTAGAACATGCCAAATCTAAATTAGGTTTTCCCGATACGGTTTTTATGCCAGTTCGGAGGACTAACACCGAAAAATTCCACTCTACCATCCATTTGTGGTCAAAGCGTGACTTTCAATGACTTTTATTGATGGAAGCGCATATGGGCTATATTTAATGTATGAAGTATCTTCTTCAGCCAACAGCCGCAAAACTTTTACAAGAATTAAGTGGGTTTGATAACAGCATATATCTATGTATATTTATCTGTATATGTATAACGGCTGTTCTAAGTGGGCGCGTGTTTATTTCAGCCCGAAGGGTTAAAAAGGTTTCAACAGAGTTCTTGTACTATCGTCGTTGGTGTTGTCCTCACCTAGGTCATAAAGGCTCTGTATTACTGCGATATTGTTTCAAGCAATAGTGTCACGGAGCTTGTGTTCGCGCACGGTAACAGACCCAACTCGATTCTAATTAATTGTTTTTTCTGAAGCTATTACGTATAGACCATAGGGAATCCTGGAGCATGACGCACTTCTCGAATGCTATTTGCAGAGGACAGGCTTTCGGAATGACCTCAGAGATTGGTACAATACATACAACAACACAAGTTTAGGGGCAGGGAAGTATAATAGGTACATTCATAAATCAATCATGCGAATGAATGCAAAGAATACGCAACACTTTTAGTGTATTTGATGTAGTCTAATAACCCATCGACGCTGCATTACGGTATATCTTCAATATCTTTGCTTTTACGTCAGCTTCGAAGCAGCTAGTGACAATGCTACCGATCTTTCGCTGTTATTTCTTTGAGTTGCTGCGATTGCGTAACGCTATAGCCTATACAACGTAAAAACCAGCGAGTGAAAAACAAAAGAGACGGTAGGTGGCTTCTGTATAATGTCGGTCTGTCCAGCCGGGTGAAAGGAAGGTGTTGATGGAAGAGCCCATCCAGCAACCTTTTTCCTCACCGTGGGTATCTGTCTGACTTCCCTGAACTCCATCCTTTCTTCGCTGCTGTCGCGTTCGCTGCTACTGCTGCCGCCGTCGCCGTGTATCTATCTACTGCTGTGCTCTCCTTGTTTCGCCTAGCCAGGAATGGAGAGGGACACAGCAGTTAGATTTGAATCCTCTTTCTAAAATAGGCCGGTTCCCCGCCACAGTGTTTGCCGTTGTTCCTTACAGACCAAACGGAGCAGATGACGCTGCACGGAGGCCTTGGTGTGGCAGCTGAAGGAGAGTTAGAGATCGGGGGCAAGGAGCAAGGGTCGAAGAAGGAGAAAACAACTAGGGCTGACTCTAGGCCCGTCCGTTCGTCCGTCTCCGTGTAAGCGTGTATGCATTCGGCAATATCTTATAAGAGGGCAGAGCAAGACAGGTACGTAGGTGAACTAAGCTAAGGTGCCGGCCGGACCGATCAACGACGTTGTTAGGACAACCAAGTGACCAGAAACGGTAACAGACAGAAAAAAAGAGGAGTATAGATCTAACTTTTGTTGGTTCTACGAATGGCGCGCTAAGGACAACGGACCAAAAGAACGGAGGGCAGATAATGAATTAACATCTTACTTCGAATTTGAACGGTTGTGATACAAGAAAGGATCGGAGCCGCAGAACGGAGCAACGCAGATGGATGGATTCAGAAGCAGGCCGAAAACAGATGTTCGAGCCATATACCAGAGCAAAATAGCAAAAGACAAAAAATGTCGCCTATGCCATACACCCACATAGCATTGTTAGGTGGTTGCCATCCTCCACCTTTCCTGCTATCGGGACGTTTCCGAGCTAGAACCAAATTACAACCCATAGCTAGGCCCTTAGAAAAACATTTAAGGAAGGCCCGAACCTAACTGCTGGCTTTGGACAACGAACATGTACCCGTTTGCAAGTCTTATCACGTCTGCATTAATTGACTTCCTGCGGTATCCGATGTTATTCAAGGAGGAAGATCTACATTAAGCATTAGATCGTTGACAAAAATGCCGTTTTTAATAATCTTAAAATGTTAGTGCAGAAATTAAAGGCGGATTTAATAGAACTTTATAAAGAGGAGTATCTAATCTCGATTGGGTCGCTCAGATTGATCCAAATAGCTAACCTTTTATTATTTTAGGCTTGTTTTTAAGTGGTGCCAATTTGGGCCTATTAACCCAAAAATACATCCAAAAGACTGTTTCTTTTATACGCAGCTCATCAACCGCGATTTTGTCTCAACTATTCCAAGACATCCTGTATGTGTAAATATCCGTCTATCACTGCTGCTGATTCTCGTCTCCTCTCTGTTTTCCAACGACACAGTCCACAGTAATGGATAGAAAACTAAGCAGCAGCGAATACAACAGGTCACCGCCCGATGATTGCTAGTACTTATATCCAATTGCAGTTTAATCGAATGCGTAGCTACGAATTCGGCCTAGTTACGAAACCTGGTTAGTAATCTCTACCTAGGAAGAGGACAGGCGGTGGAAGATATGACTATCAAAGATGACATTCCCATAGGCCTATGGCCTAGCCAACAGTGAAGACTATTAGCTATCAATAGCAATTACGTCATACCGTTATAGCAGCATAGTTCTATATATATAAACGAATTATCCCCCTCCGAATATCTTTTTGGGTCAAGGTAACGTTCATGCTAAATAGAGGCACTTATGTTTATGTTTCTGTAAACCGATTTTTTCTCCGCAATTCTCAAAACAAATATAATAATATCATTATTTTTTTTGTTAAATATTCATAAATGAAACCGTGTACTTACTTTGCTCCTGTACCGTTCCCGCAGAGGGGGAAGTCTCCATTGGAATCTTTGAACCAATGCGCTGTGGTAAAAGATAAATTTTTTAAATATCTTTCAACAAAATGTAGAGTATACGAGAGGTAAACGTGACGTTTTGAATACTGTTAACGTTGATTGATCTTAGTGGACTAAAATTGAACATAAGGGCTAAGTAGGTAATTTAAACGTGAGTTTAAGCCGACTAAAAGATCCCGACTGTGTTTGCTTATATCAAATATTGGGTTTCGCCAGTATAGCCCTCATGACAGTTTATTTGTCTGTAAGTATCGAAGTTGGCACGTAATGATAGATGTGCCTTGAGTCATGCTTAAGCTGTGGGCAAATTTCGAAATTTTACTTTATCATTACAGTGGGTCTCTGATCTAGTCCAAGATTACATCTATGCAAAGACGTGTCGGATTGCGGCGAGCATCTGTTACTTCCGTACGATTCTGTAAAAATCCGCTGATGTGTTTCCTCTACTCAGATACATGTGAGGCAGATTCGGATACTTACTTTCATTGTGAACAAAATCGTACCACTCTGGTGGAGATAGCCCAGCTGGGGGCTGTTGCACACATTTTTGGGTCAACACCCCCATATAGATTTGTAGTCCCATGAGGGCAAATACCGACAATGAAAACATAGTCAAAATTATTACATCCCGTAGATTCTTCACAGACTCGATAACAGCGCCTACAATGGTCTTGAGACCTGCGAGAAACGAAAACAGCAAAAAAAAATAAGCATCGTCTGTCAAACATTTATTCATCTGTACTGATTTTTTTCTTCTTCTTCTTTTTTTCCCTACTGCTTTCACCTTTCGTTTGCTCATAACACGATAATTATTGTTACTTTTGAAAAAAAAACTTCAAAAAAAATAGAATGAATCATCATGAATTGAGTTTAAGCAGTTAAATTGTATGTACGTAAATTAATTAAACCAGGCATAATCTGCCGTACAAACTAGAACAAAACATTTGCCCTTTCTGACGATGATTATAATTGTTGTATAACGAAATAGAGCAGAGATTCGCGAAACCTCGCTGCGAAAATCACCACACATTGCCTGTGCATAGGCTGCTGTTCTGTCTTTTTGGTGTTCCGTCTACTAGGGGCAAAATACTACGCAAAGTAAATCAGCGATCCTCCAGGCTCAGTGCTTGCTTTGCGTTGAAAATAAATAGAGAAAGTTAACATGATCTGAAGTCCCTGTGATAGCTTATTTGTTTGCCTATGGTTATTACGAACACATTGTGGTCTGCGCTCGAATCCGTACATGGATAGATAGACAGACTTCGTTTCGTGCTTGGAGGCAGCCGTCTGATGGAAAGCCTTACCGAACATAAAATTCAAAACATAGAGGTTGGTCAGTCACTACATATGCACGCCTCTGTATTATAATGAAGGTCGCCTAGTTACTGCATTTCAATTAGTTGACTGTTATAGCTAACGCAGACAAAAGCGAAAGAGAGAGAGGGAGCGAGTGAGGGAGGGAGAAACGGAAGGGGATCGGTGGAAAGAGTGAAAGAGAAACATTATTCTTACATAGTTCCCTATCCCTCGCGCTCCTCTCCCCTTACCTCTCGTGCTCCCTCGCGCTCCTTCTCCGTGTACTAATATTATACGCGCCATTTGAATTTTCACTTTAATTCAGTTTCGTCGTACAGAGGCAGGGCAGATAAATCTTCTAGATAACATAGAATCATAGTTGTTAACAGGCTCGAAATAAGGGGTTGAAAGTAAACAGGAAGCTTCCTTTGCTGATTGCACTAAAGTGATCTTGTCTACTGTTAATTTTAATAAATCTAAAATTTATAATATGCAAGCAAATCTACCCCCTTCTGCCTGTATTATCGCTCCGAAGTAAAGAAGAAAAGCACTTAAATTCACACAATTCCCAAATTTATAATCGTGTTAAAAATCCATCTATAGGCACCCTCAGTCAATAGACAGATATACAGATCTACTTACCAGGTACGATAGCGACGGTCTTTAAAGCTCGAAGCACACGGAATGTTCTCAGGGCACTAAGGTTACCCAAATTGACAAACATTGTCACATAGCTGAAATGTTCAATCACAAAAAATACAGAAACATGTCTCTCTCTCTCTCTCTCTCTCTCTCTATATATATATATATATATATATATATATATATATATATATATATATATATAAATATATATGAAAGGTTTGCTAGCCACTAGCCAAGAATGATTAACGTGAGCTTTCCGAACCGTATCCCGCCAATTTGTTTCCCTTTTTTTTCTTATTAGTATTATTATGCAGCCTCTGGTTTCCGACACTTGACGAGCTTGGAGCTAACACCTGCAGACGAGCTAACTTCCTTCTTGCGTAACGGCATCGGAACACGCCACGAGCGCGAAAATCCTTTTTCAAAGTGCTCGCGGCTTTCGTCTTACATCATCTACCGAGACTCGTGTACGGGCCAGAAAAATCGCCTGTTACGTATCAGGCTATCATACTTTACCGTTTGAATATGTATAAAAAGTATTACTCAAGTACTGTTTCGTTCTGTCGGAATTCTGCCGCTACGCGTCCGCAGCTAAGTACATCCGTTCCGATGAGGGATGTTTTTGAAATATAGCAGACGACTGTGCTGACTATTGTTATCCTATAATTTCTTCTGTCTCAAAATGTTTCTTTCGAATAATCTCGCCGTAGACTAATTGCAAATCTGTATTGGCGTACAGTTTACGCAGCGAGAATCTGTTTTTCTATTCTGTTGGTGGCGAAACAAGGCGACCACATCCGATACAATGCTATCATTATTCAGCTCCGACACTATTGCCTCTTTAAGTGTTGTTTATTTTTAATATATTTTTATATTTAACGAGTTTATTAGTATGGGCCTCTGGGTTTTAAATAGAATGTGGACAAAATTGTGCGCAAGATTACCGTATCGGTAGTCGCTTTTTCACGCTAGGAAATATGTAAGTGCATGAGGTTTACATATGGCATTGTTTTTTAACCAATAAATAAATATCAGCTGAATCTTACGTGCATATTATAACACCTGTATATTTTCATATTGATGCCTGCTTCGGAGAAGTTTGCCCACTGATTGAAGCAGGTTAGCTAGACGTATAAACATTTAGCCCAATAAAGATGTATCGCATCTTTGACATGTTGGATCGATTATTTTAGAGGCAAATATATCTATTTTCGATTGATTTACTATGAATAATGCCTTTCGTTACACAGTTATATAGCAAACGCTAGCAGCGAGATTTGATCTAGCGGAATCAAATCGATGAGTGATACTTTCCTAATAATAAAAACAGCTTCTATTAATATCTACTGATCGAGCTTTACATAGATACTTACGCTAACGTTATTACAATGAAATCTAGCCAATTCCATGGATCCCTAAGATATGTAAACCGTTCCAAAATGAAACCACGGGCGAGGATTTTGATGAACGATTCGAATGTGTAAATCGTCGTGAATATTGTTCTGAAAGTGTTACGCGTCAAAACAAAGAGAGGAGAAAAAAAAACAAGAAAGATACAACTTTATCACTTTTGCCTCGTCTCAGAACAAGGCAAACCGAATCAGCTATTTTCTACGGTACGAAAAAAAAAACAGTCTGACCACAAACTTTCTTCCGCCTACACTACCCCGTCTTTTCGTTACAACTAAACAAAAGGTTGGAGCCATGCATCATGCGTTCGCTCGATTCTACATTTCATACGAGCACGAGTCACTTCTGTTGCGTTGTCAAGGGCACGATATGTATATCTGTATAGGTGTGAAGCAGATGGCGAGTCGTTGTGTGTAGTAGCTGGCGGAATACGTGTATTTCCATACATTGAGTTCAAAAGACTGTCATGACTCGCGTATTTCTTTCCCGATGAAGTTCGTTGCCGCAGGGACTCGTTTGTGAATTCATAGATCCGTATACCGGCCCCGTTCCAGATTCGAATAGCTTTCACCGAGCCATCCTTAGCACACACGGTTTGCAAGCCTCTGCATGGCCTGATAGAGACCCGTCGTTGGACAGCTGCAGTCGGCAGCTATCGGTTCCGTTTTCTTACTCGATACTACGAGTTAGCAGCGCGCGTGTCAGTCTGTCATAGCTTGATTGACCGATCACCCGGCCGTGGATGCTTCTGCTACAATAACCATTCTCGACGCTAGCGCCATCGCTTTAACATGCTTAGCCTTCGTTTTCTCTTGCATCTGTCCACCGATTCAGTTGTGATCGAAGCCTCGTATTATTGTTGCACCAGGACGATCGTATCGTCTTCTTCGCTAGGCGGCGGACAGAGTACTGCCGTCATGTCAATTTTGTGGACACAACGACAATGCGGTAGCAGTATCAGTTCGTTCGCTCACCTGGTCACCCCTCTCCCTTGGTTCGTCTGCCGCCGTTCGTTGGTCCTTTTGGCTGGCTGCTAAACTTGCGATCGCGACTTCTGGCTGTGCCCTGCGGAGCAGTTCAGATACGCTACCAGCTAGTGCTGGCAGACTGAAGGCCTTGTCGGGTGGCTGAGTAGTTGCTTCTGCTTGCAGTGATAGGAAGTCAGCGGCCCCGAGGCAGGCAATTATGTATAGGGTTGCTATGGGTTCACACCTTTCGTATATTACATGGACCCTGTAAGTGTGATGGGGATACAGCCAAATGAAGAGACAACAGAAGACGGCTGACCTTGACCAGGTCGTTTCTTTGCTGCCGCTGGTGTCGCTGAGATAACACCCCCAAATGGCAGAATCAGCCATAACGAGCGGGAAGTCACAATGAAGAATCTAGTACAGACTCTGACAGCCAGTTGGTCGGTGAGTCGGTAGCTATGTGACACTGAACCAGGACAGGAGCTGCTGAATACGAGGAGGAAGAAAATAGAAGAGGAGGAGGAAGAGTTGGAGGTTATGTAGAAAGAGCAGGTGTCAGTGCATGGCGGACGGGGGTGGGAGGTGATACTAGCAGGGAAGGATGGCCAAGCGAGATGGCCTGAATGGGGTGATGGAAAAACCCCGTGGTTCGTTTAAGCGCTCCAGCTCTGCTTTGCAATAGTGACGGAAACAGGGCCGGTAAACAGAGGCTGGCACGAGCCTTACCACTTACTTACGTGATCCATTTTGGCTATGGAGAACCTCGGTATAGGACCATCACCGACAACGGCAGCGCAGATTCTTGGGAATGGACTAGTTAGCTATTGCGCACTACCCGTAATTAATCGGAGGTGAACAGAAGGAAGGGACAAGAAAAGAAAAGCCTGAGATGGGGTACGGAACAGAAAGCGCTAGCTGTTTTTATCTCTAGAGTAAGGGAAACAGGACCCGCTTAGGGCGCAGTGGTGAGGAGACCGCACTGCTGCGGAAATAGAAGCGGTAAAGTGTTCTTGGTGCCGGTGGCGGCCGGCAGTCATACCGCAAGAAAAAAAATCGGAACGGGAGATGAAAGTTGTAGCGAACGTATCGATATGGGTCGATCGACCGGTCGGCAGGCAGGCGGGTATGTCACCATTGAAGCAGAAACAATCTCTGGTGGACCACAACTAAGCCAAGACTTTCTGGGGGCGCTGCTGCAACTGCCATTTGGTCCTTTGGTTTTCACGAATACTAGTGGGCCACTGCGAATAGAGGAAAAGTGGCCCTGGCTCCAGTACTAATAGCAGCAGGCTATAGAATCCAACTCGCCTTAGCTGTCGATTGGTCGGTCGCTTTTATCCACTCGTTTGTGCTACAATGGACACTAAGGCCAGGAAAAAGCGAATGAGATAGAAAAGGGAGAAGAGGAGGATGAAAAGTCAACGCAACAAAAGTGGACGGAAAGACGAGCGAGAAACGGTTACGGGGATATGTTAAGGAAGCGTAGCATAAAAGATAAAGAGAGCCGCGAGACGCAACTAACCCAGTGCGCTTAGTTTAACTAACGAAGACTAGTTTGGCTCACATAAGACGTTTCGTTCAGCATAACATCTACCCTTTTGCTCATACATGACACAAATAATTGTAATATATATATATATATATATGTATATGATTGTTGTACTTACTCGGTCTGTTCGATTTTGTCGTTCGCCGGCATGGTCATGAGTACACAGTTGACCAAAATGGCGACAATGATGAAAAAGCTAAACAATGGGTGCACCAGGATGCAGATGGCCAGACGACGAATTGGGTTGAACGGGCTCAATATCCAGAGGGCATTAGTCGAGCTGAAGCGAAAGATGTCTTTGCCCTTGCTGATCACCATGAACGTCCTCTTGTTCTCGTAGTACTTATCTATTTCCTCTACAGGTGTGGCGATCAGCTCAGGAGGGAAGTCATTAACGATCTGCTTGGGCAAGGGACCGCCGGCCTCCAAACCCGGATCAGGATCTGGGGCTTCTTTGTGATGGTAGAATTGCGGTTCAGGCTCGATTCCCTCCTCGCGCATCTTCTCCAGCTGCGCCTTCTTGGCCGCCTCCTCGGCCAGGCGCGCGAGCTGGGTCGCGAGGCTCTCCCTCGTAAACGGCCGAAATATCGATTGCGGTTCATCGCCCAACATGTGCTCGATGTCGTGGTCGTGGAAATCATCGTCGTCATGGTCTGCGTGGACGCCATCTTCTGCGATGGGCAGTGCAAGGGCGTGCGGCGTGGCGCTGCTGGTACTGAAAGCAGGCTGTTCCGTGTTAGCTGACAAAGCAGTCTCGGCGGGCGCCGGTGGCATTTCAAAGGGATATCAAGGCCCGCTAGCTTCGCTGGCTAGGGCCGAGCCAGCTTTCGCACTGGCCTCGGCCTGCACTCGCTTCAGCTGCGGCTCCCTCAGCTCCTTCAGCTCCAACTCCTGTGGCTGCTGACGCAATTGACACTGGGCTTGTTGCGCTTGTTTTTGGTGTTTCGTCGATTGCTGCTTCCGTTGCTGCCCACCCAGCCGCGCCACTAGCCCAGACCACTACTATCCTGGGCCTACAGCGCGTGGTTTGACAGCCTTCGACGAACACCACAGCGGCGGTCACGTGGTCACGGTTTCTTTGTGTTGTCTTTGTCGTTTTTGTTGTTGTTGTTGTTGTTCGGATCGTCTTTTGTTGTTGGTGTCTTTTTGAGTTGTTGTTGTTGGCTTCTTCTTCACCTCGAGCTCGAACGCGAGCTCGGACCGGAGCTGCACCTACACCTGCTCTCCCGGCTCCGCGGCGACGCTCCACCGCAGCCGGCGAACGAGCTGCTCTGGGTCGCCGGGTGGGGGTATGCGGCAATTTCTCCGTGGCGTTTTCGGGCGGGAAGACCCCTCACCGCCTAAAGGACCACCCCGCCAATAGCTGTATTTACAGCTGAGGTCGATTGCCGGCTACCGGCAATGATAATGGTGACAACACAATTAACTGGGGCAGCGGCTGCGATAACTGACGACAAAAAACGGATGGGCCGTTATCGCTGATGGAGTCGTAGCTGCCGCTGGTTCTTTGTCTTCGTAGTTGTTGTTATTTTTGTTGCTGTTGTTGTTACTGTTGTCTTCGGCCCTGTATCTTTGCTGCCGTTTGTCGAACTAGATCGGGGCGGAATCTGCTCAAATCGGATCGAGCCTAATCGATGTTTTTCGTGTGTTTCTTCTTCCTGCCGTAGCTATTGTGTCGGTAGGGCCAGCCTATGCCGACCACATACGCCGATCGTCGTCTCGTTGAAATATTAATATAGTTGTTACTTGGTGCTGAAGATCGTTAGCTTTTAGGTAGTTCGGCTAGGGTATTTTTATTCGTTTCGTTCGACCTTACTGTCTCGTTTTGAATTTCTGTTATGTTCTTTCTTCACTTATTTTTCCCCCTGTTTTTCTTCCGCCTTTCGCTCACATCATATATGCCATCTGCATTGTATTGTTGTTTTAGCTATTTTTATTATTAGTTATGGTAATTATTAGTCATCTGTCATTTATTATTGGTAGATCCTAGTGCGTGTGCGCGCGCAATGTTCTTGTTTCTTTACTTGACTTATTATAATTACTACATTACTGTAATTTTTCGTTCGTGTTTGTCGTCTGAGTTACTTTTGCCTTTTTATCGTCTCTATCGTTTTCCTTTTGCTTATCTCTATTCCTTTTTGATTCCACCTACTGCTCCTTTGGGTTTGTATCGTCTGAGCTTTTGGTTGTTGCTGCCGCTATTGTTGTTGTTGCTACTGTTATCGTTGTATTTTAACTTGGATAACTTGGTTAATAGCGTCGTTGTTGTCAGTGCGCCTGGCTTTGCCTTGGTGGAAGACGGGGAGCCCGCGGTCGGTCACCGCTGTTTTTGACTGTCCTCGACCGGAACCGCCGACGGGCCGCAACTTGCCAACACCAGCTGCACTCCCGGGCTACTTTCCGGCTCGATGTCACGTTCGCGTTGTTTTTTATTGTTTTGTGCGCCTCCGAGGGTGACAAACCGGCGACACGGACGGCGGCAGCAATACAACTCAACTCCAACGACCTGAAACAATAGTGATGACAATAGTCAGCGATGCATAGGCACACAAAAGAAACAAATGCGACATTTGACAAGCATGCTCTACCTAAAGTTCATGCCAAAGAAGACCGTCGGTAAATAATCGTCGTCATATGAACACGACATAGTACAGTCATGTATAGACTACTTGTCGGCATCACTATAACCTTTTTTTCTTCCACACCCCGACCGCTCCTCGGTTTACCTCTGTTTTCATTAGAATTGATTATAGTTTTTCGTCCTTTTCTCTTCTACACTGCGTAGCTTGTCCAGTTATGCTTATAACAAAACAGACCCATTCCGAACTCCGCTATCCTGCTACAAGGCCTGTCGGTTAAGCGCTGCTGCTGCTGAGGCACCTGTGTGCGAGGTAGAATGAAGAAAGGAGGTCTTCATCCTGCTACTGTTCCACTTCGTCCTACTCTCGCAGTAGGACCGCATGCAGCAATTTACCTCCGCCTTTTGCTCTCCTTGCTCTACGCTTCGGGGCAGTATCCAATTTATCGACGAACAGAAACGGCACTAACAGCCATCAGCGAAAGCGAACCGTCTAGAAGAGGGAAAGAACAGCTTCCTACTGCTAAAATTCTTGTTTCTACGATTATTATCGGAAGTCGAATGTTCATCTAACGTCTAGACGTAGCCACAGGCAATTGTTTACCCAGGGAAAGTGTTGTAGATTGCCGACAGGTGTTGCGGTATCACCACCCCAATGCGCTTGTCTACAACCGGTTTTGTTACGATGCGCGGTAAACACCAACTGGCGTGTAAATAAATGTCTAGTAATCCGTTTGTAAATTGGATAACTAGAATCATTTGGTAAAGACGCTCTGTATATGACATGCATGCGAAGATCACCAAGAAGATCTTATAGGTACTTATTGTCTGCGCCTAATGGCAACCAGTAGAACTCTAAATACCACTTCGTTTACCACCAAATGCTAAATCGCAGCAGGGGACCATTTAGGTGATGAAGGTAATCACCATGATTTTCACACTTTGAGATAATATTCGGCCTATGCGATATAAGTACGCCTGCAGATGCTTTACATTATTAAAAGGAAATTACCACTACAGTAAACAGCTATTTTTGCAATTCTACTTATATTATTTAGTGGCAGAGTTAGAAAATCCAAAACAGCCAGTGGAAGCCAAGATTACTATTACCGCAAGCATCAGATTGACTCTATAACTGATCATTAGCTGCCCTGCCAGAAAATATCGTCGTTACGTCGGACTTGTAAGCGCAAGGGGGGACCTTAATAGAGCAACCTGAAGGGACACAATAAAAGAAGAGAGTTTGACTATATATTCATAGCTTTTCTGTTCATATTTTCACTAAAAAAACAAGGTGTGTCTGCGCGCCCGAGGGTCGAACGTAGACCACCCCCTGTTCCCTCTGGTTAGTAGGCAAACACACTATCGTAGTGTATCTATCGTGAAAATTGGCGTGAGTAACAATCTACATGAAATGATTGATTAATTCGTTTGTTTTTATTTCATTCCAACGTCTTCGCTTTAATCGATCCTACCACCGAGTTTGCACCAGTTATCTCTGTCATTTCTCAGTCCTCGCTCATCTGCATATATAGGTTGCTTTCGTATACTCCTGAAAAATCCCATGAATTTCTAGGCGTGGTAGTCACACGTGGCGAGTTACGTAAGGAAGAAATACAAACGATCTTTGTTGTTCATTTGTAACGTTCGCCTCGAATATGCATGACGAGGCGTACAAAAGAACGTTGGGTTCCAGATTTTGACCCACCGCCGTCGAATGAATTGCATCGATCAGCTGCTATCGGAGTATAAGAGCGAAGGTGATTCGATGAAAGACGGACCCGCGACTAACTCCTCTATGTTTCGAATTTTATGTCCGATATCGCTATTAGGCATAATTCCATCTGACGACTAGCTTTCAGTATGAAACGCTTGAAATTCACTTACCATCATCCTATTTCCTGTTTCCTGATACAATGGAATGCAGATCAATTTCTGCACACGATTGACCTTACATTTTTCATGCTCTCATTTATATTTGAAGAAAAGTCCGGTTGTGCACTGGGAAGCTTCGTCTTCGGCAAGTATAGGCGTAGCCCATAAATGTGAAAGAAGCACTAACGATAAGACGCGAAGGCCTAGCCAAATTCGCTTTGATTCGGCCTAGATTGCCTTGACATGAACCGATCATGGTAGGCCCCTAGGGTCACCTCGAAGCGTCACGTCGTCGATACTTCCGTCCTCGACGGAATCACCCAAGTGGCGAACATAAAAAGAGAACGCAGGAGGCAAAGCTACATTGAGAAGGTTGAAAGTGGTAAAAAGGAATGGCGTAAGTAAGAGTGACAGAACGAGCGAAAAGGGCGAGCAGAAAGATGAACCGCTGGCATTAAGCGTGAAGGGGAATATGGCAGTGTTACTGCCAATGACATATATTATTATACCTGCCATCACGGAAGTTCGCAGGAGATAAGTCGAGCAAGTGAGGCCCCCCCGAATCAAGCTGTCAACGACCGTCTACCCTATAGTACAGCTACCCCGCTCCACAGCCTGCCGCTTGAGATTTACGCAACTTGCGCTAGCTCTAGCCCTTTGGTGGTCCTTTAGCCTTTTTGTGGTGCTTTTTCTCTGTCTTTGTTACGTTTTTTTTTGTCAATCTTCCCTTGTTCCTTTCATTTTTTTGAGCGTTAGCTTATACACACAAAGCATCCTGGTATTTTAGCTTTATGGCGCACAACAGGAGTAGAAGGGCGTGATTTGGTATCCCAAGTCAAAGGCGATATCTTAACCAACGGGCATGGTCAGCTGAACAGCATGTTTCCTTAAAATGCAAAAATCCAGAAAACTATTATTGACTTCTTAATTCAAAATTAATTGTTACGAAGCTATGAAACGGCCAAGGAAAGAGTGTTCGACAAACATATGCCAGCTATGAAGCTACCGCGCACGCATAACCTCATGTCGAAAGTATCTTTCCCAGAAACCCAGCTAGTGCTTATGTTAACCCTCCTCGCAGACGTGAGTAAAAGGTACCAGCACTTGTCTATAAGGCTATAGGATGACCTTGGGAGCTAGACTACCTTGATAGCGGAACACATTAGAGGTCGCTTCCCTCCTCATTCCCGACGCTGCCGACTTTGCTTGCGCGTCCTTCTTGCCTGCTACTAGCCATCTCCATTGCTTCTACCTTTTGCCGTGGCCGTTCACCTCTTGCCCCACCCGCCCCATACGCGTAGCACAAAGTATGGTGTGCCAACCTCTCTCTCCATTTGCAGACGACAAGCCGACGCAATCCCCTCCATTTCTCTGTTCCTCTGCTCGTCGTTTTGACACCCGCAAAAAACCTTTCGCAAAGTTGTTTCTATTTCCAGGGACTGCACTTACTGCCGTCTGTCATTTCCATTGCCTTTAGCCCTTCGCTCTCTGCTATATCATTACGATTTGTCCTGCCGCCACCGCTACCGTCACCATTCGCAGTATTTGGCCGGTCTGTCGTTCGCTAACCGCGTCGCGCGAATACGTCGAGCGAATCGTGGCAGCTCTCAACGTGGATCGCACAGCGGCAGAAATGGCTTTTTCTTTGCTCTGTCTTGTTCCCCTATTAAAGTTGTCTTGTAGTTCTGCCTGAACAAGACCCACAACTATTGCTACCACCACTATTAGTAAACGACAATTTACTGCTAAGGAACTATGCCCATCCAATCGTCTGTTTAAGCCCCTTTGGTCTCTTTTCAGGTAAAAAGGAGTCCACGTTTGATAGCGCTGCTGAAATGTCTTTTTCGATAGCTTCAGGCTTAGGCCTCGATCAT